GTTCACCACACCTCCGCACAACATGCACCCTGCAGCCACCTGGCCAGGAAGAAAGGTATTGGGAATCCAGCCCCCATTCTTCATGCTTTTTCTCCTGTGGCCTCCCTTCCTTGAACACCAGACAGGCCCCAACAACCTGGATGGGCCTCCTCCTGCCTTCTACACTCCGTGCTGCTCCAGCACCACTCAGCAGGAACCATCTGGCTTTTGGTCTTTCAAGGCTGTCAAACCAAAGAACTGCCTGCAAATCACTGTCGGGCTGTCCCCTTCCTTGGCCAGCAAGGTGGCCTGAGCTCCACCCCCAGGGACAGTAACACATGGACTCCCCTGTGCGGCAGAACAGGATACCTCCAGCATGCATTTCACAGCACTCCCCAGAAGAGTTGTTTGCCCCACCTTGGTCTGAAGGACCCTGTGGCAAATGAATGACAACACAAAAGATGCCCCGAAATGTGGCTCTCCCATGTAAGGCCTTGCTCTCTTCCAGGACGGACCAGTGACGGCGTCACAAAAACAGCTTCTTCCCACTGGGTCACCGTGTAGGCTGCTCACCAGGCCAGAGCCAGAGTGCCTGGGAGGGTCCACCGAAGGGATCCTGTACACACACACACACACACACACACACACACACACACGCACGCACGCACGCACACTCTCTCTCACTCTTTTTCTCTGACAGATCCACACTGTCTAGGCTTTGAAATATGTACAGTGGAAACAATCCCCCTGGGGTCGTCATGTTCAGATTCCACCATGAATGGAGGCCCTGACAGCCTGCACGGCAATCACTTGAGGAAGGCTTGAGGAAGTCGTCTTGGTTCCTCCCTTCTGCCCAGGCTCACTAGAATATTAACATTGTTCTCAGGATGGGGACAATACTCCCTGGGGTAAATGAAACCAGTACTGCAGCCTGCCAGGTACCTTAGCTCACCTGTGAAAGATGCTAGAGAGAACTGGAGGAAAACACACAGCAGTCTTTCAGTCTCAAACAATTTTCAATTATTGCTAGAATACTTCTTTCCAAAATTCATCACCGAATTTAAAAAATGTGGAATTTGAAGAAGGGCAAGGGCCCCTTGCGATGGATGAGTTTTCAATCTGACCTTGGGAAAGGGAGCAACTACCCATATGTTGTCACTAAAATCAAATCCACATCAATTACTAAAGCAGTGGCCATTTTTCCTCCCCTAGGACTGGAGACTGAACCCAGGCAGGGCCTGTGCACTGAGCTACATCCCAGCCCTTTTTAAATTTTGAGACAGGGTCTAAGTCGCCCAGGCTGGGCTAGAACTTAAAATCCTGCCTCAGCCTCCCATAGTGCTGGGAATGTGGGTGTGCACCACCTCCCCCGCTTTACAGCCTTTTGCAGATGCGAAGGCAGCAAGCACTGGGCCAGGCTGGGCGGCCCCCACCTCCCTCGATGTGCACTGAGCTGCACTGAACTTCCCTCTAGAGCTACCAGGTGGAGAGGCAGGTTACTGTTCACAAAAGAGGCACGGAAGTAGGTGAGAATGGCGTGCTCCACGGCTAGGTCACAGGCGAGCAGCCAGCTTGTACCCACTCTGAGCTGGCCTGCAGAGGCTCCCCAACCACCTCTGGTGGCCTTCCCCACGCAGCACATCCCACACATCTAGGATCCCTTCCCCCCTCTTCTCCCCACTGAGCTTTCATCCACCAGCCTGCTGCGGGGTCCCAGTGTGGGTCCTTGCTTGTTTCCTTCCTCTTGCCCAGTGTCTCTGAAGGCACCCAAATCTGCTCTCGGGGGCTCTCCCCACTCACCTTCACTTCAACTCAGCACAACCCTCCCACCGCTCAGACCAGGAGCCAGTCACTCTCCCTTCTCTTTCTTACTCTCCCACAGCCAATCCAAGGGCGGATACAGTTGTCTCTTATCTCCAGAGGTCTCCAGGACCCATCAGGCGTTAGCTGTGGATGCACCCTCACCTGAGCAGCGGTACCTCACACAGCCTCTGAAGGGCTTCCCTACTCGCTCCCCTTCAACAGATGTGGAACAGCTGCCATAGCTACGTTTTGACAACCCAGGTGTAGCACTCTCGTGCTAGAAATGCCTCTCCCAGGTTAAGTGATCATCTAGAGTGGCCCATGAGCCCCAGCAACTCTGCTTGTCACAGGGGCACTGGCCTTCAGCCTCTGCTGTGCTCTTTGCACATCTGTGGCCGTCTCCTCCCCATCCTGTCCCCACCTACACAGCTATTTAACATGAGCCTGCCTGAACCCAGCACCTCCTCGAAGCCCTAGCCAGCTGTAATTTCTCTCACTTCTCCCCCTTCCCGTACCAGGCAATCCAAGGAGACAGGGGTGTGATCAACATGCCCCACAAGAGCACCTTGCCCATGGCAGACAACAGATCCGTCACTGAACGTCTGTTCAGACTTTCACACTCCAGGCAACAAACCAGAACCCCAAACAGCACTCTGATATGTGATACATGTGCTGTGCCATTTCCCTGTGGCATTAGAGTGTCATATTGAACGACAATTTCATCTTCCCCTATGTACCCAGGTAGGTGTTGGAAAAAAGCTGCAGGTCTGACTCGTGGGTGTACCATAAGGTCAGACACACCATGCACTGCACAGAAAGCAACTAGGAACTGTCAAGACCTGGCGACGACGACGGCACAGGTGCGCATGGCCTGAGGCACGGGGAGAGCATGGGGAGGACAAGCCAGTGACCCGAAACACGGGGGTCTGCTCTGAGGACGGTGGGCCTGAGCTTTCCCACACATCCCTTTGCTTTTGTTCAGCCTATTGGTGCAAGCAATGCACTCTGAGGGGCTGCCTGAGTCTCAGTCTTAAATATAGCATCAGGAGACAAGGCAAGATTTTACTGAGAAAAAGTGAACTTTTAATTATCTTGTGAATCTACTTAGAAAAACACAGACAAGCAATGTTCACAACTATAAATTTAAACCTCTTGCACTAAAAAAACACAAAACAAACACAAAACCACAGGTACGAACTGTAAACCTGTATTAATTATCAACTAGTTTACGGTTAATTCTTAGCAGTAATTCAGTATTTTCCTCCTTGGCAATTGTAATGTTTAGCACCAAATGATCTCCCACAGAGGTATTAGTGACAATGGTGGCTGGGAGTGTAAGGAGATGTTTCGCACGATGCTGCCCACACCCCTGCACTCACACCATACTCAGGAGGCGTGGTGGCCGATGTGGCGCATGCAGATTCCCAGGGCAATGGAAACAAGACAGAGGCACAAGGTCACACAACTTTAATGTAGTGCATTGTAGAAAAGGCCAGCTTTCGCTCCCAGGTGTGCTCTCGTCCTCAGACTTTAATGTCATGATTTAGAAGATGCGATGTTATTGCCTAAATATTATTCTATACACTTCCATCAGTGTCAGGAAAACACCTTAAGGTGCTGTTGGGAGCAATGCTACATAATTCTAGGGAAAAATCATTCGAGTAGGCCTAGTTCTCCTGCCTACAGGCCAGCTATAACACTCCAAGACATAATTCCCTTTTGGCCTCAGGTCACAAGGGAGATCTCAATGATCCCATGATGCTGTAAGGCTCCAGGACAAGACCACACCTGCGGGAGACACCCTGGGAGGAACTAAATCTTCATCTGCATAGTTCCTCATTGTTCTTAGATTTCTGCAGCCCCTACCCAGTCTTTTGTTACACCTTGTTCATCCCAATGTGATACTGAAATCTACATTATTCATTTGTTACATTTGTTTCTTTGGATGTACTAAATAAAAGGTGCTGCAAGCTAGGGCTTCTTGTCTTTGCCGCCCAGAGCAGCACTGATCAGACCCAAAGCTCAGCTTCTTCTCAGTCTCATTTGTCTACCTTTCCTGTAATTCACCGTGTGCTGCCGTGGCTCACAGGAGACTAGGACTTACTGCAGAGGTTCTGGTAACGTCCCCTTCCCCTGCTCCCTACATTTGGCGCCCAACGTGGACGTGAATCGGATCCACAAGTGAACTCACCTGTGAGACAAACTCGGAGTAAAAGAGACAACACACGGATCTCCCAGGACGATTTCTGGACTTGGACGAGGGACTCTGGTGCTAAGTGTATCCAGCTGGGGGTAATTTTCTGTCTTTGCTGAGTTACAATTGTGGGTCACTCTCTGTCAACAGAACAGTGTAACTTTGCCAAATTACTTAAGTCGCTGTTAAAGTAAGCTATGTACCCAGTACCTAAGGATGCTGTGATAGATTTGTTAAAAGACATACAAATGTATGTCCCATCTTTTCCCCAGGAAGGGACAACTAACTTAATAGCATGGGAACGTGTAGGTACTGTTCTCCATGAGGTTTGGCGAAGGGGTGATCGTCTCTCCCCCCGAACGCACCCCACTTGGACCTGAGTCCACTCTGCTCTCAAATTCTCTCAGTCAGTTCAGGAAACCTCGGCTACCCCTCCCCCCACCAACCCTTCTGTCCAGGTTTCCCCTTGTTCGGCTTCTTCTCCGGTTTGCTTTCATCTCACTGCGGCTTCTGCTCCACCACCACAGTGTGCTGAGGAAGACCCTAACTCTCTAGCCCCTCAGCCATCTCACAAAGGTCTAGCTGCCCCTCTTGTGAAGCCCTCTTCTGGGGCCACTCCCTATTGCCGTACCCTGCAAAAGGCTGTGACATCAGGCAAGGCAGTGGGAGAGACCCTTTGTGCTTTCCTGTCTGTTTTGCCTGATCCTGACAACTCAGAGGTGGACATGTATGTTCATGCCTCATTTGATTTTAACATCCTAAAGGAGCTCAGGCAGAGTGTGCTAACTAATGGTGTCCAAAGCCCCTATACAGTGGGTTTGTTGGACAATGTACTTCAGACTTATTCTCTGGTTCCTCATGATGTTTTTCACCTTGCAAAAACGTGCCTATCTCCAGCTCAGTATCTCCACTTTGAGGTGGAACTTCGTTCTTTAATCAGGGAACAGGCTCATAAAAATGCTCAGGGAGATGCTCAGTCTAGAGAAGTTACTATGGACATGTTATTGGGCACAGGTGACTTTTCGGATTTAAGCAGGCAGGCCTGTTGCCCAGCGTTACTCTTCCACCAGCTAGAGGACCTCCTGCGGAGGGCTTGGGCTTCTGTGCCAGTTGAGGGTGCGCCGACGGAATCTTTTACTCAAATTATGCAAGGGCCGGTGGAGACTTACACAGAATTTGTAGCAAGATTACAACAAACTGTTAGGAGACAGATTTCTAATTCCCAGGCAGCAGACATCCTGATCTTACAGCTAGCCTATGAAAATGCTAATATGGATTGCAAACAGGCAATAAAATCCTGTTCACTCCTCTAAAGATCTTGGAGCATATATTAAGGCATGCCAAAATGTTGGGTCTCCTTCACACAATGTGGCTCTGATGGCTCAGGCCATCTCCCAACATTTACACGGTACACACAGTGATTTAAAATGTTTTAATTGTGGAAAAATTGGGGCATCTCAGAAAAAACTGCAAAATGAAAGGGGCTTTACAAGCTGACCCAGAGCCACTAGGTCAGACATCCAGAGAAAATAAGTTACCACCTGGCCTTTGCCCTCACTGTCGAGAAGGCATTCACTGGGCTAAAGCCTGCCACTCCAAATATGATAAGGATGGCACACTGATGCAAGAAAAATGGAAATTGGGCCCAGGAAACTATAGGAGATCAGGGCCAGGAGGCTCCAGTCCCCCTGAATCAGCAGTACCTGGTTCAGACCCATGCACAAGTACAAAATCAGACAGCACGGGTGTCCAGACGGACATTTCTTTCCTCATCAAGGGAACACTGGGGAACTCAGGAATAGATCTTCCTGCTGCTCAGAGAGTTCACCTACTGGGAGGTGAGACTCCGATATCTGTCCCCACAGGAATTCATGGACACCCCCCCCCCCGGAACCATTGGCTTGATACTTGGAAAATTCTCTGTAACTTTGAAAGGCATTACTGTTATTCCAGCTATTGTTGATTCTGATTGTACCTCGGAATTGTGTGTTCCTCTTAGCTCCACAGGACTTTGGGTAATAGAACAAGGAGATTATATTGCACAATTGTTGCTCTTGCCTAAATCACAATTAAATAATGTTAGCCTTAAAAATTCCCAAGAGGGTCCTCAGCCAGAAATTCCTCAAGAAGAAATTTATTTCACCCAAGAGATTTCCAAAAACCGCCCCATGTGCAAAATTAAATTGAATGGCAAATTCTTTACAGGATTGATAGACACAGGCGCGGATGTGTCTGTGATCGGCACATGTTTTTGGCCATCATCTTGGGGGAAAAAACCAACTAAAACATCTCTGGTAGGCCTTGGCACCCCCCAACAAGTTTTACAAAGCTCCATTCCTCTGCCTTATGAAGGGCCTGATGGTCAATTGGGATATATTTGTCCTTACACAGCTCCCATACCTGTAAACTTATGGGGCAGAGATTTGTTGGAAGAATGGAGAATTGTAGTGACTACGTTGCCCTCTGAAACTTCACCGGGCCAACAGATGATGTCTAAAATGGAATTATGTCTTGGAGTGTTATAGCTGGCCTGTAGGCAGGAGAACTAGGCCTACTCAAATGATTTTTCCCTAGAATTATGTAGCATTGCTCCCAACAAGGTGCTACTTAATTTACACCATAATTACTGGGTTACAGCTTTAGCTCATTGGCAATTTTGGAAGCGATATTTTTGAAAGCTATGGATGTCCCTGATATCCGCTTAAACCGGACGCCGTTCAGAGACAGTCTTGGCAGCTTACAGACTTCCATCTCCCACTGCACCAGGTTCTCAGCGGCGTGGCCGTCGCCGTGGACACAGAAGAGCAGGAAGCGCTCCCTCTGCTCGTAGTCGCAGTTATTGGCGTCTAGCACTTTTCGGATCTCCCGCATCATGTCGCTGGGATCCATGGAGCTAGTGGTTTTCATGCTCCAGGTGAAGCGCAGGGAGCGAGGTTTTGCTTCTTTGTTTTCGTCCTTTTGCTCGGCGGACACATTGCGACTGAAATGCACAGTGGCAGGTTTATTTTTAATTGTGCAGAAAAATGAACCTTTTCCACCTTAGCTAGTTCAGCAGCAATATCTTCAACATCAAACTGATGCTCAGGTTTTCCCATGCAAACTCACAGTCTCGAAGAAGTACGCATCTATCCCACCTTCCCCTGTGCACAAGCCACGCATACAAACTACCTGCCTGGAAAATTTCCATAGCCCCTGTGCTGACCAAAATCAAAGTGTTTTGGTAAACAGAACTGTTAGGCATCAAGCACAACAGACAGCCCACTCTCTAGGTCTACTCGGGGTGGACGCTGACACCAGCCTTCTGCTCTGCTCCCCCAGTGCCCCTCACCACGACTGTCACGGAGACTCAGTGTATCTGGGGACTCAATATTCACAGCTTAAAACTGCTTTTCCCGGAAAACAGCCCCAGATGCTGAGTGCACAGCTGAGTTAAGCATTTTCCACATCACCTCTACAAATCTCACTGTTTTCCTCCCAGTTTGTTAAACTTCCGGTTTCATGGTTTAAAAAGAAAGATCCTGGTACCATGTGCCTGTAGCCCCTGCTATTCAAGAGGCTGAGGGAGGAGGACTGAGCCCAGGAAAGGTCGTAAAGTGAGATACCACCTAAAAAACAAATAAAATAAAAAACCAAAAAGCTCAACTAAGGTGACATAATCTTACTACTGAAATAGAAAAATGAAACTGGTCTACAGAGAACTGAAATGACTAGTCTCCATATCTGGTAGATTTAGAGTGTGAGCTAAAATGCTGAGTGAGATACTTGGTTACAAAAATGAGCATGGGTTCTCCAACATTTTGGGGCTCAGGATGCCTGTGAGGTGAGGCAAAAATGCAGGAAAGGCATCTGGTGGAGGCTGTTTCATGCGAAACGAGGAAGAGAGGCAGTGGGCTAAGGACGGCTGGCCTCCAGAGGGACCTATGAGGACAGCTCTGAAGTCTCCATACAGGATCACAACAGTACACAATGAAGCCGGGGGAAGAGCTTTTGTTCTGAGCAGAGAGACAACCTCCCTCTGCATGGAGGCAGGAGGAATGGAATGTGCTCTCGGCACAGGGGCCCCATGACACCCTAGCCACACTGAGCTCTTTCCACAGGCGGGCCTCATCTTGCTCAGGGCAGGACAAAGGCTCCATCACCACCTTCCTACTGCAGCAGGGCCCGGTGCAGGCTGTGGGCACTAACCCTGCTGCCTCCATGGGGCAGCCAGGCCCAGCACTAGGGGCTTCTGTGGGACATGGCTCTTTAGGCAGCTGTGGCTACAGAAGACTTTCATTCAGAAAAAAGACCCATCAACAGAGCTGGGGTAGAAAAACCAGGAGGGAAACAAAGGGGTCAGTGTGAAACTGCATGGTGGTGACTGGTGGGAAAGAGGCCAAGTGGAGACCTGCAAGACAGCTACAACACACCAGAGAGCAGAGTAAGGCTCCTACAAGCATCTTAGAAGAAAACATACCTAATGTGAAACATGCAAATCCTACCAAAGACCTGTCCCGTCCCTTGCGAGCAGAACCACATGGAGCGTCAGTGAGGGTCAAGGCTTCTTCCCACGACCCCTGCCTCCAACCCCAGGCTTCCCCACTCAGAGGCACTGGGACTGCTCTCGAGGCCACGCACTTACACCCAAAACGCTGAGGCAGGGGTGGGGAGGCCTCGGTGGCACACCAGCACCCTCAGGTGGTGACTGGGGGTCGGTGCAGCCTCCTCAGCCTGCCACTAGGAGGCGGCAGCAGCAGGTACAGAACAGGCCCCCTCTGAGCACCCTACAGGGACAACAGGACTGTCATGCAGAACATTCGGAAATGTGCCCTTCTGCCACAGAAACAAGGTCAATATCTAGAGGAGATGTGAAGTAAAAATCATTTCCCTCACCTTGAGCCCTCATATCTCCCGTTCCTCTCATATTCAGTTGGAAGCCTCAAGGAATAGAATGTAGAAGCAGAGAGAAGTGGGAAAGAGAAAAGACATCTTACACACTAGTACACGACCACCCATGTAGCAACACAAACATCAGACAATAAACAAATCAAAACACTTTCCAGTCCCCAGTTGGGCTTACTGAAACCCCTGCTCTCAGTCTGACTCAACAGGCGACATGTTGCTCCTGCGAGGAGGACACAGGCACTGGCAGGGCCACGGCTGCCGTGCTGCTGGGTCTCCCAGCAGGCTTTGAACCACTCCTCACTGTGTAAAGGGCTTCCAATGAAAAGGAAACGCACAGGCTATCAGTTGAATTCTAACTTCAATTATAAAATTTTCTGTCCAAGGAAAAATTTGCCATCGGGGAAGATCAACTGAAAAATAATCAAGGAATAGAGTTTCCAACAGGAAGAAAGCACTTTCCCCACGCAGTTTCTGATAAAGAGCTCACGTTAACAGAGCCTCACAGTGACCCATCAGTTTTGTAAACACAAAACCCCGGCAGCCGGCCTTCCGGTGGCTCAAGAGGCCCAGGCATGCCTCGGCCCTTACAGCAGGTTTCCTGCTTTGTGTGTGTGCACTCCAAGCACAGCAGTATTTTTGGTCTCTTGACTGTTAACTCCAGAAATATTAATCAGATCAGAATACCACTTACAAGAGTGCTTTAGTAAAAACAGTGAGACACTTCAATGGTTTGGGGAAAGTGGCTTTTAGACAGAATACTATTTACTCTTCAACTTTCCAAAAACATTAAAACATTTGTGCTATGCAGCTTACCTCTAATTTTTGAAAACTCCAAATCAAATGAGGCATAGATTTGAATTTTATGCTTGTCTCCAGTATCAGAGTATTAACTAATCTGTCGTTTTAAAGCCTTTTTGCTAATTTAATCCTTAGTAAAATAAAAATGACAACTAACACAAATTATCACTTACCTTTTGCATGCTTGTGGCTAATCATAAATTACATGTTAATGTTACCAAACATCTCATTCTTCAAACAGGAGCATGCTAAGTGTTATTAGTATGATGACAGAATTATTTGGATGCTAAATAATTCTACCAAAGAAAGAAAATGCACAGAGCATGCATAGCTTTTCATTGCCACAGTTCCTTTAAAATGCCTGACAGAGTTAATTTATTTTTCTCCAGTTTCCTTTCAAGGAAATAAGTATTTAGTTCTCAGCAGAAAGTTTAGTTTTTAAGGAAAAAACAGGGCCAGAAAAGCCAAACCTGATGTTAATTGCAGGAGCCACTTGGGTGTGAGGGTTGAAGAATAAGTGTGTATACACACAAATCCTACCTTTTGATAAACCTGAATGACATGTTTCTAAAAGAAATTAAGCCAAAAAAAAAAAAAAATTAACAAAAAGGACTCACACAAATTAAACAGGAAATCTAATCAATTATAGAAAGGAAACAAACAGAAAAACCCAAACACAGGGCTCCTCTTTTGGCCAATAATGAAACAGTGACATGTGTTGAAAAAGGATATGTGATATTTTAACTAGAGATATTAAAATATCTGTACTTGTAAGAAAAGTTTAGCAGTAAATACTGACATTAGCTCTAATGTTCTTCAGATGGACACACTTTTTTTTTTTGGTACTGGGATCGAACTCGGGTCCTTGCGCTTGCACAGCAAGCGGCAAAACCACTGGGCTAAATCCCCGGTCCCTGACACACTTTTTTATTTTCCAGACGGACACATTTTTAAAATTCAATGTCTTAACATAAGTCATTTGCAACATACCAATAATAAATAATATTTCTTGATTTTCTTCAGAGTATCTTATACATAAACATGAAAAAATACATTATAAAATACTTAACTATTAAGAGGATCATTAGTTATTTCAAGAAGATGATAAATAACAATGTTATAGTGGTATGATATAAATCACTTTTTAAGAACAAAACAGGTTATGGGGTTTAAATAAACTTTCCAGTTTTAGGTCTCAAAATGAATAAAAATTAAGAGTCAAGATAACAGTGTGGGACGCACACACATACAAGACTGAACACTGAGCCCAGGGGTGCGCTACTCCTGAGCTACATCCTCAGCATGGGTCTTGTTAAGATGCCCAGGCTAGCCTTAAACTTGAGATCCTCCTGCCTCAGGTGCCTGGTATGTGACACCATGCTTGGCTGGATTTTATTTTTTTTGCTTAAATTCTTTTATTGGTACATTTTAGGTATATAATATATTTACATTTATCATTGGGTGCTTGTACCTGTACATGATGTATGGACTTTATTTTTATGTAACAAACTAAAAAGAATTATTTTTCAAGGGATAACAATGATCGTTAAACAATGTTAAAGAGATGCATAGGTCATGCTGAACAGAATTTGACCAAAGACTTCCCAAACTGTGAATCAGGTGCTCAGAACACCGGATGGTGAAGCCCTGTCTGTCATGGGACACGGGACGCTCTGAGCAACTGAAGCAATGAAGTCCTTGGATTTTTGTTTTTTCTAATTTGAGGCTAACTTTGGACTGCTTTGAATAAATATAACTAAAATGTCTAAAATAGACAACTGCCAATCATTTCATACAGATCAAATGTGGGGCACAGATGGCACATGGTAAAGATCCCATATATGAAATATTTTATAAATAATGACATGCTACATAAATATAAAGTGGTATTACATTAGTTGGAAAAGATTAAAAGATCTTTTTTTTTTTGGTACTGGGGATTGAACTTGGGTCCTTGGGCTTGCGCAGCAGGCAGCAAAACCACTGAGCTAAATCCCTGGCCCCAAAAGATCTTTAAAATACATTTCCATTTTTCTTAATTTTCTCCTTGGGAAGTGAGAGTCACTTTTCTTTTCCTCCCTCAAATGGCCTAAGCTAAAGTACAAAGCAGAGAGAGGGTGCTGGCCCCCCTCTGACTGGAGAGGCCCAGCTCTCTGAAGGCACACATGGCCTGCACCTGACACCTCGGCTCTGGCTTAGGGCATCCAAGTGCCAACACCCTAGCCTTACAGGCACCGCAACTTTAAGTCTAGCAATGCTTGCTAGGGAGAGAAGTTTCAACTGCAGCAAAAAGGATTTTAAGTACATTTAAGAACAGCTGATATGGGCCGGGATGTAGCTCAGTGGAGCTGCATCTGCCTGGCAAGTGCAAGGCCCTGAGTTTGATCCCCAGTGTAATCCTAGCACTTGGGAGCCTGAAGCAGGAGGATCGCTGTGAGTTCAAGGCCAGCCTGAATTACATAGCAGGACCCTGTTTCAAAAAACAAAAAATAACAACAACAAAAACAACAACAAAAGACAGATGATGACTTCAATTTATACATTTTCACAAACAGGATAAAAGACTTATCTTTCTGCAAAGTTTTGGGAGTAGACACTGTGAAACAGGATGACCACTTAGAATTTTTTAAACTAGGAACCTTAATCTCAGCCAGGTACAGTGGCACATGCCTGTAATACCAGCATTTGGGAGCTAGGGCATGTTTGAGGCCAGCCTACTACAAAGTGAGACCCTGTCTCAAAGAAGAAAAGAACCATGACAGATAGAGATAGAGAAAGAGAGACTTCAGTCTCCAACTTTGATTCAAATACTGCATAGTATGAAGTAAGTCAGAAAATAAAAGCAAAGGACGCATGCCTGTAGCAGTTCTCTGCTGAGCTTGCTATGGGGACACGAGGCTCCTGAAGGGCCTCATCTGCAGCCAGCCAGGCCTGGCACAGGTATGCTTTCAGTACAGAAGCAGAGCATGCATCATCACCTCCCCGACTCTCATCTTCAGTTTCTCCTATGAAATGAGAATATCTACTCTGCAAGTATACTGTGGAGATGAAATATGAGAGAGGGGTGGGGAATGTATTATAGATACAGGTATACTCCATGCACACTCAGAAGTTGTGTGTGTATTACATGTAGGGATAATACACATAAGGGTGTATACACAGTACATACAGGGATCTGCATGTAGAAAATGAGGGTATCTGTATAGTCACAGATTTCATCTAAGTATCTCAGCACACAGTAAGCATTCAAATGACGCTTGGTTATATTTTTATCAATGATGCCCAAGGTGAACAAGAGAATCAAGAGCCCACCTCAGAATAAGGTGTGTGGGAACAGCTACCTTTTCTTTCTTTCTTTTTTTTTTTTTGGTGCCGGGGATTGAACTCGGGACCTTGCACTGAAGAGGCAGGCTCCGGAACCACTGAACTAAATCCCCGGCCCACAGCTACCTTTTCTGAACTTCGGTGAACCTGTGCTGCACAGGCCCAGAGGGGACAATGCCCAGATATTAAGCAAGGAAGGGGAGTTAAGGCAGCCAGAGAATAGTCCTGGCTACCATCTTCCACCATCCAAGTTTTAGCCTAGTCCCTGAGGAAGGAGCCAGGGTACAAGCAGGCCTGGGGCAGGAGGACCCTGGAAGGAAGGAAGAAATTATAGGGTCACTTGACTTTTTGTGGACTGAACTTGCTGTCTCCCTAGCTGGTCACAGATGGGTGGCTCAGGGTAGTGCCCCTCGGACCATTCTGTTCTGCTCACTCTGTCTCAGTAAAGGGACTGAGGAAAGAGTAAGGGGGTTACCTGAGACCTCTGGCTCATGTGACTTTAGTTAAGGCATCCTAACAATAGATCTGATGTTTAATAATGGGACTCATCAAAGGATTTTTTTGGATTTTTGAGACAGGATCCACCTCAAACTCACTAGGTAGCCCAGGATGGCCTCAAACTTGTGATCCTCCAGCCTCAGCTTCCTGAACAGCTCTGATTACAGGTGTGCCACCAAGCTCGGATATTATATTTTTAGAATAGGTCAGGATTTTATCTCTGAAACTATACTACTTTTTAGAAGTTTCCTTGGTCTCAGACTGAGACCAAGAGAGAATAATTTCACGATCCCAGACTGAGAAACACAGTGTTCATTATTCAATAACAACAGAGTGAGAAGAGGAAACACCTCGTTCCTGTGTGTCTAGGCAAGATCACAATGGACCCACTGGTGACCTAGTGACTGCTGTGTAGAGCTACCTCCCTGCTAAACTGCAGTGAACGTGTCATATGGACAGATGTGTGATCAAAAAAACAGGAATTAAAGAAAAACAAAAGCCTCCCACTTCTAGTGTTATGAAAAGGCTCTGAGCTAATTTCTATTTTTAAAGTTTGAAAGTCTAAAGTTATACATATATACACACATACATATGTAATATATGCATGATGACAAGCGCCTGAGCAGCAGCTTTACACAGCAGGAAAGACATTTCTCTTCTGGCTGTGTTTGCACCAACTCAATCAGCACTACTTGGCACTTACCGCCTTGTGAGTTTCGAAGTTAATTTACTAAAAAGATTAGTGGAGCCTCGACTTCGAGTCTGGGACAGTGGCGTGGCTTCGTGGGACAGGCTGGGTGAGGCGGGTGGGCCATTGTATGTTGCAGTTCGCCGCTCTCGGGGCTGGCCGTGGAAAGTGCTACGACTGGCAGTGCCTCGTGGGAAGTGGACTCGATCAGGGGTGGTTGCACTGCTAATACTGTGGGTTGAAGCAACTGGAGTTCTCTGATCAGGAAGAGTGCTGTGAGATCAGAAAATAAAGAGACTCTAACCTCTTTGTTCACAAAAAGTGTGGTGCATAAAAATTTACAATCGCAGTAAACCTTTTGTAGAGTACAATGACTATATCCAAGGGGTACCTTATGGGACTTAGGAGCACAAGGTAAGTTAAGTGGGGAAGGGTGCCAAAGAAATAGGCTATACTGAGACAATCCCTCAGAGTTTAAGGGAATGGTGCATACACATTCTCAAGATAAATGCAAGGAAATTCTAGGACAGGGAGAGGGTAACTCAAGCCTTCCCCCGGTTCCCTCTTAAAATGCCTACACGCAGAGAACTGTGCCAAAATGAAAGAAAGAACTGCAGGTGTAATTGGAGAACAGGCAACCGAAAAGTTTTGGAAGCACACAAATGGTATACAATTCCACATGCTGAAGGCAAGGCAGGAAGGACAGGGCATTTGTTATGCCTTCTATGATATGTAAAGGCCAGACGCACAGTGAGCAAGGACGCCATGAGACAGGATGTGCTTAACTAAAATCACATGGAAGAAGGACACCTGTAGATGACTGTAACAGAATCTTGGACTATAAAACCCACAGCACAAAATTAAGCAGCAGTGGGCACACATTAGTTTCACAAGGAATGTGCATTTTTCTTACATTGAAGTTATCTCCTTCACTGTCTATCGAGGGTACCATCATCTTGGGGTGCCCAGAGGCTGACATGGACATAGACTTCTGATGTCTCAGCTGACAGGTGGAAGATGTGGCACAGACTGAGGCAGGGCTAGCTGTGTAAGCGAACACTTCTGTCAGGTTGGGAGGGGGTTGGGTTCAGGCAGAGGCAGAAACAGCGTGATGGAGCAGTGACCGAAGAGCACCTGCTGTCTAAGCATACACCTTCCTCCCCAGGCCCCTGGCACTAGCACAGAATAAGCTTTCTTAAGCTGTTTGGGATTCTGGGCAATTACTGGCCCGTAGCTGCTTAATCAAACAGCAATTCAGAAGTTTATTACCTTGAAGAAAGCTGACCTTCCGCTCTGAATATGCGTGTTTGTGAGAGGCCGAGTGTCCTCTGAGCTCTGCACAAAGCAAATCTTGTCCTAAAGGAGACGTCCCACTCCACAGCGAGGTGTGTGAAGTGTGACAGGAGCACAGGTGCTCTCTACTGGTGCCCAGCACATCCAACAAGAGGTCAGGGACTGAGCTGTGTGCTAGAGGATCCTAGGTTCCATGAGCAATTTGGAACCCTCTTGCTCACAGGGTCGTTTGTCCCTTCATAAAGAGCAATCAACATTCCTAACAGGCCAGGATGGAAAACAGAGAGCAAAGCAGCCATTTACAGAAAGCAAGTGATGGAGCACAGAGGCCTGCAGTCGCACCTGGCACACAGATTTGGACAAAGCCAGCCAGGGAGTCACACAGGCCCAGGCAACTCCTCAATTCCAGCTCTGTCTTTGCACCTGGGGATTCCCAGGCAGCAGGTTCCTTTCTTTAGGAACAGTGGGGCATAGGACTCTGCTCCTGGCCTGGCTGCATCTTGCAGCAGGCCTGCTCCCCAGCCTTCACCTGGAACCTGGCGCTGCTGCCCCTCAGCCCCACATGGAAGCTGTAGTGACATCTTGTGGAGTGGAGTCAACTTAACAGGCAGCTCTGCAGCAGACCCTCTTTTCCATCTGACCTCACCCTCCTCCCCTTGGGCCTCCTCGCTTTCACCTCACACCTCAAGTCCAGCCACACCTTGCCAGGAACTTCCTAAAGCAGCAATGGTGCTAGGGATTTAGCTCAGTAGTTCTGCTGCCTGCCTCGGAACCACAAGGTCCTGAGTTCCATCGCTGGCACCAAAATAAAAAAAAAAAATGCAGCAATGATAAAACTTTTAGAGCATTCGATAATAACAAACAGCCTCTTGGAGCATGTGTGACACAGGTATGCCACCATCGTGAAGCTATTCACCGGGTTCATAGCCTCTCTAGAGCTGTCTTCAAGAAACTCAGATGGCAGCCCGACAGGTGTGTTACATACCCTCAAGCACCCAGTACGGCCCCTGCCATGTGACTTTCTGACTTTCCTGACCACAGACCCTTGATCAAGTAACAAAGAATTTTTATAGTAGCTATTTGCCTGCAGAGCTCAAGTATTTCCAGTCCCTCTTCCAAATTCAGCCCAGATGCTATCTCCTCCATGAAGTCTTCCTGGATGCACTATCCACTGAGAGTTGCATCACTTCTTTCTGTGTCTTTAGCTCAAGCCCGCACACGTACTGCAATGCCCCTTCCCTGCTGGGATGCCCTGGAAGCAGGGTGTATGTGGCATCAGTATGTTCCCAGCATTGGCAAAAAAAGAAGAGAGCAGGCGCCGCAGATGGTCTCTTAACAGAGTAATCCATCAGGTATGGGAATGAGGGTGGCCAGCAGGAGGGAGACCAGCCTTGAGCCTGAACGATAGGAAGGGTTGCTGGCCTGGGCGCTAAGCCCTGGGAGAGAGACTCTGCATGGTCAGAGCAGAACTGGAAACAAAAGCCTTACGAAGAGAAGAATCCTAGTCTACTCACTGTCATTCAGGATCCATTGGCTTCCTGAGGCAACAATACTTCTATTTTGCTGGGGGGAAGAAACCCTAGGTGCCTGGACTCCAGATGATGCTGACCCTGCCCAAGACCTGCCCAGCTGCCCTGAGTGGCAGACCTACCCGGATCAAGGCCAGTACTACAGGGCTTCCACCTGAGCAGATCTGTGTATGGGAAGATATCAGGTCTATTGTGAAGCCCACTGGGGACTATTACAGAGGAGACAGAACTACTGTAGGACTGGACCTGACTCTAGCCCAGAAATATTTCAGTTATACCAACTAGAAGATGTCCCCCACCCCCCTTTTCCAGTTCCAGGGATCGAACTCAGGAGCCTGTGCTCATGAGGCAGGCACCGCGCCACTGAGGTAAATGCCCGGCCCTAGATGCCCTTTTTTACTTCAGCCTGTTTAGACTGGGTTTTCTATCACTCAGAATCAAGTTCTAACTGACTCAAGTGTTTGAAGAAATGCTTGGTGGTTCCTTGTACATGATTACAGACATCCTTATACATGTATAATACTGTTTTTCTATCAAGTCACAGATAAATACAACTCTCTCTTTTTTTTTGTTTTTTGGCAGTACTGGGGATCAAACCCAGGGCCTTTGTACTGAGGTACATCCCCAACTCACTCACTCGCTCATTCATTCATTCATTCATTCAGAGAGGGCCTTGCTAAGTTGCCTAGACTGCATTCAAACTCGTGATGCTCTTGCCTCTGCCTCCCAGACTGCTGGATTACAGGTGCATGCCACCACACCCCAGCTCATCTGCTGTCCTTCTATCTGTGCAGGCCAGGTCAGCATTTGAGTGCTCTGCTAGCTGAACTGGCAGTTAGGCTCAATGATGTACAAAGGGCAGGGCGGGCAGGCGTGTAAAATGGTCCCCAAGATCTGGACAAGGAAAGGGCTCTTGGGGCCGGGGATTTAGCTCAGTGGTTTTGCTGCCTGCTGCACAAGCACAAGGACCTGAGTTTGATCCTCAGTACACAAAAAAAAAAGAAAAAAGAAAGCGCTCTCAGTGAGTCACCCACTGTGACCCGACAGCACAAGGGCACATGGGACCTGGGCAGAGGTGTGTGGCACATACCTGTCCTTCCTACATGTCAGGGGGACCTTCTGACATTCTCATTATGAATTATGACTTTTTTTTTTGGTACCGGGGATCAAACTCGGGACCTTGCGCTTGCGAGGTAGACTCCGGATACACTGAGCTAAATCCCTGGCCTGAATTATGACATTTTTTGACCTATTAATTTTTTTTTTCTGGTACCAGGGATGGAACTCAGGACCTGGCACTTATGAGGCAGGTGCAGTACCACTGAGCTAAATCCTCAGCCCTTGACATATTAATTTTAAACCAATTAAAATAACTTCCTTTAGGGCCAGGGATTTAGCTCAATGGTTTCGCCACCTGCTGCGCAAGCGCAAGGACCCGAGTTTGATCCCCGGTATCAAAAAAACAAAAAACAAAAAATTTCCTTTAGAAATTTAATCCATGTCACCTCATGAATTCCAGAAAACAAGCAAAACATAGATTTTTTTGACTGCTATAGTAGGCCTAGCACCTTAAGTTAAGAAAGCAATAAATTTAGCACTGTTTGCCAAATTTCAAGCTTGTACAATTCAACTTACATACCTATTTATAACACACAGCCCTCATACCATGAGGGCTACATGCTGTACAAGCTCACTAAGCTGGTGTTTGAGGATGTTCAAACAGTATCTCATCCCCAGCAAAGTGTAAAATGGTTTTATCTCATACTTTAGCCCACAAAAGTCCTTGGAATCAAAACAGTACCTATATTACATTTTTTCAGTAGTTCTGGGTCCACAGAAGAATCATTATAAAAATCTTACGGATACAGCAATGTTTTTCTTAACATTCAAATTGCACACATAAGGGGCTGGGGATTTAGCTCAGTGGTTCCGATGCCTGCCCTGCAAGCACAAGGACCCAAGTTCGATCCCCGGCACCAAAAAACAAACAAACAAATTGCACACATAAATTCCTATGAGCCTTCCCAACTGTTTTATTTTTGTATTTATGACTTATTCTCTTGGTGGGGGGTGGTTGCGACAGGGTCTTGCTTTGTAGTTCAGGCTGGTCCTAAACTATGCAGCCCAGGCTGGCCTTAAACTCACTACAATTCTCCTGACTCAGCCTCCCGAGTGCTGGGATTACAGGTGTGCACCACCACGTCAGGATCGACTCTCTTTTTTTGAAATCTAGCCCATGTAGGCTGCTATGGTACAGGCACTCTGAACTGTCTGTTATTATTCAGGGATCCAGCTCATGTCAGAACACTCAGTGTGAAATGTTTTGGTGCTGGCTAAAGTATACTCAGCAATTGGGCAAAAGAAGAATTAAAAATACTATAGTCCAAAAGGTACAGTTCACTGTCATCAGTCCTTCTCCACACCCTCCCTGTGGCTTATTACAGGACACATGGAGAAATTAAAACTGCTTTACAATTTTAAAGTTTTACCAATGGTATCTGGTACCTAAATTTCTTTGAAGATTCATTGTGCTTTACTGTAACACTACCATGTTCCTTTCCCGGAACCCTTAAATGAATATATCCTAAACAGTTACGAAGGCATCTAAAAGAATATGGACAAGAAGGGCAGGGTACCCACAGGATGTGGGTTGTTCAGCAACATTAACTTGAGAGATTAGGTACAGTCTGGGTAAACTAAGAAAATTCTTCACATTCTTCCCGAACAGTTTATTAATAACACAAGCTAAAGTTTATTGAGTGCTATCTGTGACTGTAGTAAGCAGTTTAAGACTTACTACAATCTGCACTATCCTACAAATTATATTATTGAAAATATAATCCAACTCCCTCCTGCTGAATTTACACTGTCAGGCAGGGCTGGAACTGGGTTGTTTTTGGAGACTGTCATCACAAGAAGGCAGAAGGATTTGCATCAGGAGCATTACAGGAGAAAGCAGGTTGGGTGTCAGGTTGCCTGGCTTCACAAGCCTCACTTGGAAAACCACTCACAGGGGCTTGTGGCAAAGCACACACCTGCCAAAACCCATGCTTTCCCAGACACCACGATTAACTTCATTTTTCACACAGGAAAGCTGGTAACACAAAGACTGCACTAGTAAGAATCATACATAAAACTAATTTTAAAAAGAGAAAGTATATATTAAAAAATCAACTATTCTGCCTGTGGCAAGAAGAGGAGTTCATTTAGTGAGGTGAAACACCATTCTATGTTCAGAGTAGGATTCTGAAGGCAGTTAGGGCTTATGGAGACACCCATGGGTCTTGTTCTGTGAATCTTCACATGGTTATCAATCATGATTTATCAATCATGCTGGAATTCTGTACAGGTGCATACAGAAGAGTGTCCAAAATATTCTAGGCTAAAAAATGGAAAACTGTCCTTGTTTCAGATGTTAATAGGAGAAGGCATCCTGTAGCTCACTTTAAATTAGTGACCGAATACGAACACAGGTGTGAGAGTAGAGAGGAGTCAGCTATGCAGTGAGAAGGCACCCAGGAGGTGCCTGAAGACTCAAGCATCACTCTTAAGGGGCTGGGGATTTAGCTCAGTGGTTTCGCTGCCTGCTGCGCAAGCGCAAGGACCCGAGTTCGATCTCCGGTACCAAAAAAACCCCCCAAAACAACAAAAAAAACAAAAACAAAACAAAACACAAGCATCACTCTTAAGGTCAAGAAAATTGTCACATTTTGCCGGGGATTTAGCTCAGTGGTTCCGGTGCCTGCCTTGAAAGCACAAGGTCTCAAGTTTGATCCCTGGTACCAAAAAAAAGAGAAAATGGTCACATTTAGTACCTTAATTCAAAGTAAGAAACATGACCACTAATTCAGTCTTCAAACTCAACACTTTTACACAGTTTTTCAATTTATTTATAAGACAGAAAAATGCAGACACTATTAAAACTGTGGGACCTGCCTCATAGGGCGTAGTGCAGAGGCTCTGGTTAAAGATCAAGACATTTTCAAAAGCAAACAATGACAGGCACTCAGAGGTTTAGCCCATGCAGGATATGGGGAAGTCAGCCCCATATGAGGAAGGTGTCTGCAGGAGGAACACTGAAAGGAAATGACTCCAAATGATTAAAGACATCTTCAAATTATTTCTTAAGAATGAGTGGAGTCACTTTAGGGCAGGTGAGTTAAAGAGCAGGGTGTGTGTATGTGCGTGCCTCAGTGTGCACATGTGCACTGACAAAGGTGGGGCAGATAGAGGGCCCCGGGCTGGGCATCCCTAAGTTTCTGTTGTATATTTCAGAGCCACTCCCTCTAAAGCCAAAAGGAGCCTGACAGAGTCCTATAGAAGGAAATCTAACCTCAGAAACTTTCAGTCTTCTACGCAGTCACTGACTGATAAATAATCTTACATGATAAGCTTAAACTCACAGTTCAAACTAAAGTGGCTTTTTGGAACAAGGACCTGATAGGTTTAAGGAGAGGGAGGATCCTTCTCAGGTAGTCACAGAGTTTAGTAGTCACAAGTGCTGTCTGACTCATAGGCACTAATGGAAGCCAGGGGTTGTGGCGGTCGCCTGTGATCCCAGCACTTGGGAAGCTGAGGCAGGAGGATCACTGTGGGCTCAAGGCCAGCCTGGGCTACAAAGTGAGTTCAAGGCCAACCTGAAACACTCTGTCTTAAAAAAAAAAAACAAACAAGAAAACAAGTAGAAAAAAAAAGGATCTAATGGAGACAGAAACCATCAATTTCAGGAAGAAACCACTTCGATGCAGACATGACCAGACAAGTTGGGAGGGCAGGGGACAACAGGAGATGTGAACTCATTTCATAGATTTCTAGTCTAGGACTCATGTTTATGTCCTAACTTGGAATTTGTTTACACATTACTCTTCCAAAAATAAAGAAAACTCCACGTCAGTCTGCAATTTTTTAAAAATACAGTTTAGGGCCCGGGATTTAGCTCAGTGGTGCCGCCACCTGCCTCACAAGTGCAAGGACCCGAGTTCAATCCCTGGTACCAAAAAAAAAAAAATACAGTTTAATACATTTCACTACTTTCTTCCAACTTAACTTCCCTTTTTTTCCCTCTGCAAACTAACATACCTCATAGTCTCTGGACCTACCTAATCGAATTTTTGTGACTGTGATAACATTTTTATTATTTATTGATTTATTTTTTGTACTGGGGATCGAACTCGGGTCCTTGCGCTTGTGCAGCAGGCGGCGAAACCACTGAGTTAAATCCCTGGCCCGTGTGATAACATTTTAAATTTCATAATCACAAGAAAGTTGTTTGCATGGTATGATGGTCTCCTTGCAGGGCTATTGCCATGTGAGAATCTTATGTCATTCAAAAGACTCACTCTCTGGATGGTGACTGTGTCTCTGAGAGGCAGACTTTGCTGCACCTCTCCGGCCAACCGCGGACTCACTGAGCACATGTTGGTCTCACTGGGCATGCGCCTTCTGCCCTGCTTCTGGCCTCTGTTCCAGTTACTCAGGTGCACACAATAACCTCCCTACTTACTGTTCCACCACAGAATCACAGCCTATGATCCGCTCCCTCGAGGAGGCCACCCTGGTTTAACTCAATCCTGTTCTCATTACACAGCCCGCCAAGAGGAAAATGCTCTAGATACAAGAATTTGGAACCTTAGTATTTTGCTAAAAATTAGTACTCAAATTTAACTTACCTTTAGAGAATACTTAGTATTATTTGAATTTAGATTATGAAAACTTGAGAAGAAAGTACCATACTTCCATCTTCTGGGAAAACCAAATTTTCTTACCAACAGGTATAATTTCATACCTGTTCTCCTTGCCATTCTGAATCACTGAGTGTCTGTCTGCAGTAGTTCTCTCACTGCAAACATAGGTGTTTCGCCTTGTCATTCCACCAGATGCTGTGTTGCTCTGTAAGAAAAGAGCATTTTTGTCTTCAACTATTAGGTAAGTATAGTCCAACAAGGAAAGCATAATTCATCTACATACACATGAACACAATACTCAGTCTTTAAATAAAACTGTGCTAAACATCAACAGTAAGGGTGAAAAGATCAGAAAAGAGGATGAGTACAGCAACTCTAGCCACTTCTGGCAGAATGAATGAAATAGCTATGACAGGATGACTTTGAAAAGCTGGTGTACAATAATAATGTAATAATTCACAGATTATCACTTATTTTCTTATTTTATAACCCCAAAGAAGTTGTTCAATTCCTAGTACTGAAAAAAAGAAAGAAAAAAAAGAAAAGAAAATACTTTCAAAATTAAAGAATTTAAGATTAGAAACATAAGATTACAGAGTCAAGTGCAGCGGCACACATATGTAGTCACACATTCCTGGAAAGCTGAGGCAAGGTGATCTCAAGTTTGAGCTCAGCCTTGACAACTTAGTAAGAACCTGCCTGCAAAAAATTATATTAATTATATATATATAAAATATATGATAAATATACACACAAACAGTAAAATAAAAGTATTAAGACAAAACATCTGTATGACACTGGATTTGACAACAGAGCCACAGATATGACATTGAAAAGAAAAAGAAAAAAAAGAAAAAATAAAGTGATGAGAGAAAATATTTGTCTTTTTTTTTGGTACCGGGGATCGAACTAAGGTCCCTCTGCTTTCAAGGCAAGCAGTGGAACCACTGAGCTAAATCCCTGGCCTGAGAAAAAATATTTGAAAGCCTGTATCTGTTAAAGTCTGTCTACTATTCAGAACTCATAAAGTTCTCTTGCACCTCAACCACAAAATCCATCCAGCCATCTGAGGGGGGGGTCCTCAAACTCCTGGGTTCAAGTTACCTCCCACCTGAGCTCCTGAGCAGCCTGAACCACAGGGATGTGGCACTGTGCCCAGCTTCGAATGGTCCACTTGAAAAATGCACGACTGGAACAGACATTTCTCCAAAGGTCTACAAATGGCCTGAATGAAAATCCAGCCCAGGATTTAGCTCAGTGGTGCTGCACCTGCATCACAAGCTCAAGGTCCTGAGTTTGATCCCTGATACCGGAAAAAAAGTACAAATCCAAACCATAAGACAGACTTCAAATCCACTAGGATGGCTCTAATAAAATATGGGAAAAAAAGGATCATAAGAATAGGGAGAAACAGGAACTCTCCTGCATTGCTGAAAGAAATGCAAAATGATGTAGTGCTATGGAAAACAGTCTTGCAGTTCCTCAAAAAATTAAAAACAGAAGGTGGGTGTGGTGGTGTACACCTATAAATCCAGTACTCATAGTGACACCCTGTCTCAAAAAAACCAAAACGTTAAACATACAATTACCATACAACCCAGCAATTTCATCTCCAGGCATACATTCAAGAGAATGAAAACCTAAGTTCACAAAGAAATTTGTACCAACATGTGTAATAACCAAAAGATGGAAAATAACTAGTGTCTATCAAAAGATGATCAAATATGGGGGCTGGGGATTTAGCTCAGTGGTTCCACCACCTGTCTGGCAAGTGCAAGGTCCCAAGGTCGACCCCCGGTAGCCCCCCCAAAAGATGATCAAGTAAATTATGGTATATACACACAGTAGAGTATTACTCACCCCTGAAAAGGAATGAAATACATAATTCAACTTGGAAGAACCTTGAAAACATGCCAAGTTAAAGCAGCCATGCACAAAAGGATGCATACTGCATGACTTCATTTATATAAAATATTCCAGACAGGCAAACCTAGACACCCAAAAGGAGTCTGACTGGTGGATGCTATGGGGAAGGGGGAGAGGGGATTGATTACTGAATGGGTACAGGGTGTTAACCTGGGATGTGGAAAGTTCTGAATTAGAGGGGGGAGGGTGGCTGTACACTTTAAAGTGGTTAATTATGTGTCATGATGATTTCATGTCAATTAAACATTTAAAATAAAAATGAAGGGGCTGGGGATTTAGCTCAGTGGTTTCGCCACCTGCTGCGGAAGGGCAAGGACCGAGTTCGATCCCCAGCACCAAAAATAAAAAATAAAACTAAAAATGAAAAAGCAAAGAACAATAGTCATAATGAAGGAGTTTATCATTTAATTCACTTTATTTATTTATTTATTTTTAATTCACTTTATTATTATTTTCCACATCCTAGGGATTAAACCCAAGGCCTTGCACATGGCATGCAAGTACTCTACATCTAAACTACACACCTAGCCCAATAATAATTTTTTTTTTTGGAGTGCTGTGGATCAAACTTGGAGTCTTCATGCTAAGCAACATCCACAGCCCTTTTTTGTTTGTGTTTCTTGTACCGGGGATCGAACTCGGGACGCTATGCTTGCGAGGCAGGCGTCAGAACCAGTGAGCTAAATCCCCGGCCACAGCCCTGGTCCTTGCACTTGTGAGGCAAGTGGCAGAATCACTGAGCTAAACCCCCGGCCCTCACAGCCCTTTTTTGAGAAAGGGTCTCACTAAATTGCTCTGGCTGGGCTTGAGCTTGCGTTCCATCTGCTTTGGCCTCCTAAATGCTAGCAGGGAGCCTAATCACAATTTTTATTTTATTTTATTTTTTATTTTTTTCTAATCACAATTTTTAAACAAAGCAGTCACCTTTCCCACAGCATGAGCAGATCAGCATAGTCAAACTCCAGAGACAAATGACAGAAGTATAGTGTTGCTGCCATGGTTTGGATGAGTGGCCCCAAAAGCCCAGATAGTAAAGGCTTGGTTCCCAGGGTGGGACTGAGGAGGGAGGTGTGAGATCCTTAGGAGGCGGGCCCAGTGGGGTTCTTCCAGTGCTGGGGTGTGCCCCTAAAGGAACAGGCTCAGGAAGCAGGTGGTCTGCTCTGTCACACACCCTGCCAGGATGCATTATCTTACCAGGTGCCCACAGCTATAAGGGTGCCCTGCAATGGACTGAACTTCCAAAAATTTGGGCCAAATTTTAAGTTAACTGCCTCAGCAGTTTGTTATAGTAATTCAAAGCTGATTAATACAACTGCTAACTATTCTTTTATATGTAGGCCAGTTTGGTTAGCTGACAAAGCTCAGGATATACTTTATAAGGGCAGCATGCATATGAGTTAAGAGCATCAGGAATAAAAAGTCACAAAAGCAGAGAATGAAATTCTTATTCCCTCTGCTGTAGACAAAAGTAGGGTGGCATTAGGAGACCAAAATAAAAAAGACCAACCACAATGCCAGAGGATGAGACACAACCCTGGGCTCCCTAATGTACTCCTGTCCCCAGAAGGGCTCAAGGAAGGGGACCTAAGGAAGCAGCAGGTTCCCAGGGCTCCTGTCTGGGGCTTTTCTGAGGGCGTAGGGCTGCATCCCTGTCAATTCTATAAGGAAAACATGCTCGCAAAATAACATTAAGATCACTCACTTCTCTGCCAATTATTTCCAAAATTACTCCCAGGAGTGCTAAGAATAATAATTCTTGGGGCTGAGGATTTAGCTCAGTGGCAACGTGCCTGCCTTGTAAGCTCAAGGCCCTGAGTTTGATCCCTGGTACTGGGGGTAAAAAAAAAAAAAAATCTTGTGCTAGGTCAGAGAACTGCTTCAACCCATGGGAAAGGTTTCTGAAGCTGAATGGATTTAATGCATTTAAAGAATACCACCTACTTATGGGGGGATACTTCATTAAGGGTATGGATTAAGAGCTGGATGTAGGCTGAGAGGGTAACCTGAAGCAATTATCTAACCTTGCTTCACTGTCTTCACCTTAGGCTAGCTGACCCATGTCCCCAGCACACGGCCAGTCCTTAGTGCAAGCAGTCCCTCCCAGAGCACAGTGGTCAGCCTCCTGGCGCTGTGCACATCAGGCTTCTGCCCGCTGTCAGCTGTCTGCACAGACTGTTTTTGTTGGCTCCCTCTGTTAGACTGTGTGGTCTGCCATCTCTCACTACCTGACACAAACCTAAAGCTTGGCAGATGCAAGAGTAACCATGAAGAGCCCTTGGACACAGGATCGAGTGACACCTCTTGTCACACAATTCTAGTGTGTGAGAGGTGTGCTGTGGATTGAGTGTTTGTGTCTCTCAATAATAAGTTCCTGAGCCAGGGATTTAGCTCAGTGGTGCCATGCCTGCCTTGCAAGCTCAAGGTCCTAAGTTTGATCCCCGGTACTGGAAAAAACAAAACAAAACAACAGTAAGGTCCTGTTGAAACTTAATCTCCAATGTAACAGTATGAAGAAGTAGGTCTAGCTTGGCATGATGGCACTAGCCTATTATAATCCAAGCTACTCAAGAGGCTGAAGCAGGAAGATCACAAGTTAAAGATTAGCTTGTGGGCTGGGGATTTAGCTCAGTGGTTCTGCCGCCTGCCTTGCAAGCAGAAGGGCCCGAGTTCGATCCCCGGTACCAAAAAAACCAAAAAGATTAGCTTGTGCTACTTGGCAGAACCATGTCCCAAATAAAACAAAAAGGGCTGAAACGTAGCACAGTGTGAAGGCCCCAACCTTAATGCCCAGCACTGGGGGAAAAATAAGAAGTGGGTGTTTAGGAGGCCATTAGTGCCTTACAGAAGGACTTGGGGGAGGCAGGGTCATACCTTCTGGAAGGATAGTGTTCCTCTCTAAATGATGTGGCAACAGGGCTCTATCTGGGAAGCAGACAGAAGTCCTCATCAGACAATGAACTGTCACCTTGATCTTGGGCTTTCCAGCCTCCAGGACCTAGGAAATCAATTTCTGTTCCTCATAAATCACCCAGTCACAGGTACTGTGTTGTATCAGTAGGACTGAACTAAAACAATGGATGGGAGTAAGAAAAACCTATGATGCACCAAGTGGGATTCTGAGCCTGGAGGCCTAGAGGGAGGGCAGAGAAGACCCCAGAGTATAAAGGATGGACTCACGAAAGCTGTGTTTAGCTGGTTCCAGCCCAACAATCCAATAATACTTACACTGGGGACAGCAGGGCTTTTCTTGCGCTCAGGAATATCTGCTTTGTTGGGATTACTTGCATTCCCAAGCATGGGGCTGGCTGGAGCGATTCCCTTTCCTCCCACAGCACTGCTGCTAGATTTCCGGGAGGGAATTCCATCTTCTTTGAGGTCACTGTCTGCAGTGCTGGTCTGACTCCTCTTTGGATATGCAACAACTGAAGGAATAGCTGGTCCAGCTAAAATGAAGAGTAAAAACCTGACTCTTTAAAACAGTTGCACATTTTATTCTGTGAGAATAAATATATTTTGTAAGATGGTCTAACACTGCTATTCATCTCAAAAGGGTAAAACACTAAAATCCTCTTAAGATGTTTCCTATTTATGAATATTTATCCTACCCTATAAAATCAATTTAATTAAAAAATTTCATGTATTAGTTCCTTTTTCTAAAAATTAGTAAGCATCTAGAGTTGTCCTTTGGAAAGAACGTACTGGGGTATTACAGCATAGATAAGTAGATGACACCCATCATACACCATGGGATGCTCCCTTGGTACAGCTGAGCAACACGTCCTTTTCATACAAGGGATGCCTGCATCTTTTACAAGAGAACAGTACAGGGCTGGGGATTTAGCTCAGTGGTTCCGGCGCCTGCCTCGCAAGTGCAAGGTCCCGAGTTCGATCCCTGGTACCAAAAAAAAACAAAACCACACACAAGAGAACAGTACAGATTTCACGGGTCATTTCTTTTGAAATTTTATCTTGGGTTTTTACAAATGCACTCAGTCTGGGGCGGGGGATTTAGCTCAGTGGTTTTGTTGCCTGCTGTGCAAGCGCAAGGACCCAAGTTCGATCCCCGGTACCAAAAAAAAGCACTCAAGTCTGTAGATAAACAGGAATTTGCATTGAAAGGGGAAGGTGGTAGAAGCAGAGGAAAACACATTTCTCCAACAAGTGACAGGGAGGAAGTGGGCAGAGGTTTCTGGTCTTAGCCTTGTTGTAGGAGGAGTTTGCCAAGGACAGACCAGGGATAACCCAGGTGCAAGAATAACTGGTTCTATGGTGAGCCATCTGGAGATCTCAAAGGTGAGTTCAGAGAATTTGGAAATAAAACATGAAGGTTAGTGTACTCCTCAGACATGATGTCCAGTGGAAATCTTGAAGTACACCAGCAAATGCTCATCACTTATTCTGAGGTAGGAGACTATATTTTAGTTCTGTTGAAAAGAGGGAGGCACAGAGTACCTTCTTGGACAAAAATCTAAATGCTAACTCTATTTCAAACTAAATTAAGAGGAAATAAGGGCTTTAATAATCTGAGAAGACCAATTTAGCTCGCAGTTTGGCAATTTTAATATGTAAAACAGGGGCCGGGGATTTAGCTCAGTGGTTCTGCCACCTGCCTTGCAAGCGGAAGGATCCAAGTTTGATCCCTGGTACCAAAAAAAAAAAATTATATATATATATATAAAAAACAAAGAATTAGCCATGTATAGGTTGATATTACCCTTACTATTTATTTTTCTTCTCAATATCATAAGAGGTCTACTGACATAAACTGTCAGGTTACTACTGATTTGCTTTGAAACCTCTGTATTTAGAAAAAGTTTTTTAAATCTTTACATTTTAGGATGTGACATTCTGTGTTTTTTTTTGTTTTTTTTTTTTGGTACCAGGGATCCAACTTGGGACCTTGCGCTTGCGAGGCAGGTGCCAGAACCACTGAGCTAAATCCTCGGCCCGGATATGACATTCTGAATGGAAACAGACATGGATTGAATGTACAGCCTCATTCAGATTCTCCTAGTTGTACTTGCATTCCTTTTGCCTTTCTTCCTTCATTTTTTGGTACTAGGAATTGAATCCAGAGCCTTGGACTTGCTATGTGTTTGTGTTTTTAGTTCTGCATCCTTTCATCCTGCGTGTGGATTCCTACAGGCATCGCCAGTCCAGGTGCAGAACAGTTCCATCTGAAAGATCTGGCAGCTACCCTTTCATAGACTAAGCCACCTCTCTCCCACCCCATGCCCCTTCCCTTAATCCTGGCAACCACTATCCTGCTGTCTCTGTCTCTATCACTCTGCCATTTCAGACTATTACAGGAAGGCACCCTGAGACGCCCAGCCCCAGCATAAGTCCCTTCAAACATCCAAGTTGTTGTATCAGTTAGTTTCTTTGTACTGTGTAGTAGATGGGCTAGAGATGTAGCTCAATGGTAGAGCACTTGCCTAGCATACCCGAGGCCCTGGGTTCAATCTTCAGTGCTAAAAAAAAAAAGTGGGGGCTCGGGATTTAGCTCAGTGGTTTCCGCTGCCTGCTGTGCAAGTGCAAGGACAGGAGTTTGATCCCCGGTACCAAAGAAAAAAAAAAAAAAAAAAGTAGCTGGTGGTATCGATGTATCACTCAAAAATTGGATTTTTATGTAGTCAATTTTTAAGCCTTTTCTTTTTTTGTTTTTTAAGCCTTTTCTTTCATGGGTTTACTGTCTGGTGGTGTATTTACCAGTCTAAGTTACAAAACAAATGACCCTTGCCCTTCCAGCTCCTCTCTATCCCTTCTCTTCCCCCAACATGAGTTATTCCCTCAGTGTGTCTTTCTTTCTTCCTTTTCCTCCTCACTTTGTGTGTGTGTGTGTGTGTGTGTGTGTGTTATCAGGGATTGAAGCCAGAGCCTTACATGCAAGGCAAACCTCTACCAAGCTACAACTCCAGGTCCCATGTTTCCTTTTCATGTTTCTTGGGTTTTACTTTTTATATTCATATCTTCAGTTCAAATAGAATTTATTCTTTTGTGGGCCAGAGATTTAGCTCAGTGGTTTTGCCCCCGGCTGCGCAAGCACAAGGACCCAAGACCGATCCCCGGTACCAAAAAAAAAAAAAAAAAGAATTTATTCTTTTGTAAGATGTGAGAAATGGATCTGAATTTTTTTTCTGATGACTTTCAAATTGCTTCAGTACTATTTTTTGATTAGTGGTTTTCTGTTTTGTATTTTTTTTCTCCTTAAATTCTTTTATTGGTACAGTTTAGGTAAACAATACGTTTACATTTATCATTGGGTACTTGTACCTGTACATGATGTATCTTGGTTCTTATTTTTTTCCCCATTACCTGTGTGCCCTTCACCTCCTCTACCCTTCCCTATTCACAAAGACTTTGTTTCCATTTTTTTCCTTTTCTCATAATTTTTCCTTTCCCCTTCCCCTCCCACCACCCCTACCACTTTGGACCTTTTCTTCCTATTTCAAATTATCAATTATTCATTTTAATCATTTTACTCCTTACACTTTCAGTTTGTCACACCAGAGAAACTATTCGGTATTTACACACGTGTGTTCTATTTACTTCACTTAAGAATATGGCCTCAATATGCATCCATTTAGCTATAAATGTCTCTAAGTTTCTCATTCTTTATGGCTGAGTAGTACTCCATTTTATGAAAAAAAACACATCTTCTTTATCCAGTTTCCAGTTGATGGGCACTTGGGCTGTTTCCAAGCTTTAGCTATTACAAACTGTGCTGCTGTGAACATGGGTGCACATGTATCGCTGTGGTATGATTCTTTTAATTCTTCTGGGAAGATATCTAGCAGGGGAATAGCTGGGTCAGAGGAGACCTCTAGGCCTAGTTCTTTTTTTGGTACCAGGGATCGAACTCAGGTCCTTGCGCTTGCGCAGCAGGCGGCGAAACCACTGAGCTAAATCCCTGGCCCTAGCCCTAGTTCTTTGAGGTATCTCCATATTGATTTCCACAGTGGTTGCACCAGTCTGCACTCCCACCAATGATGGAGAAGGGTTCCTTTCTCCCCACATCCCTGCCAGCATTTGTTATTTGTTGATTTTTTTTTCTTTTGGTACCGGGGATCGAACTCGGATCCTTGTGCTTGCACAGCAGGCAGTGAAACAACTGAGCTAAATCCCTGGGGAAAGTGAGAGAATTTTTTTTTTTGGGGGTACCAGGGATTGAATTTGGGACCTTCCTCTTGTGAGGTACGCGGCAGAACCACTGAGCTAAATCCCTGGCCCTATGGTTGATTTCTTGATAGCAGCCATTCTTTCTGGGGTGAGGTGGAATCTCAGTGTTGTTTTCATCTGCATTTCTTGAATGACCAGCCATGTTGAACATTTTTTCATATATTTATTTGCTGCTTTTAATTCTTTGTCTGAGAAATGTCTGTTCATTTCAGATGCCCATTCTGAATTGGGTTTTTGAATTTGGGGGGTCTGATTTTTTTCAGTTCTTTATATATTCTAGATAGTAGTCCTTTGTCTGAGGTACAGCTGCTAAAAATTTTTTCCCACATTGTAGGTTGTCTCTTATCTCTGTTGGTGGTTTTCTGTTTTGGGGCTTTTTTTCTTTGCTATGTTCCAGGCTGGCTTTGAACTTCCTACGTAGCCCATGCTGGTCTCAAATTCTCATCAGCATCCTGCCTCAGCCTCCATAGTTGCTGGAGTTATAGACATGTGCCACCACGCTCAGCTTGATTAGTAAATGTGTGACAGAGAACACCTTAAAAACCTGATAAAGAGGGCCGGGGATTTAGCTCAGTGGTTTCAACACCTGCTATGCAAGCGCAAGGACCCGAGTTCGATCCCCGGTACAAAAAAAACCCACAAAAAACCTGATAAAGGGCCAGGGATTTAGCTCAGTGGCTTTGCTGCCTGCTGCGCAAGCGCAAGGACCCGAGTTCGATCCCCAGTACCAAAAAACAAAACAAAACAAAACAAAACAAAACAAAAAACTGATAAAATGGGCCAGGGATTTAGCTCAGCGGTGCTGCCGCCTGCCTCGAAACCATAAGGTACTGAGTTTGATCCCTGGTACCATAAAAACAAGATAAAGATCACTCCTTCCAGAAAAGCGTGTGCACACTGCAGCGGTTCATATCTGGGTCCACAGTTAAAAAGCACAGCTACAAGCTGGGCATTGTGGCACATCCCTATAATCCCAGCACTCAGCCCAGGCAGGAGGATTTCTGAAAGTTCAAGGCACTATGTGTTACATAGTGAGACCTGGTCTCAAAAAACCAAACCAAGATTCCTCCCTGCTAAAGCACAGCTACAGGGATCAGGGATTTAGGTCAGTGGTGCTGGACTTGCCTAGAAAGCGCAAGGTCCTGAGTTCAATCCCCGGTACAAAAAAACGGGCACAGCTACAGACTACACTGTGGTTGGGGAAGCAGGCATACACTCAGGGGAGGGGCTAGCTGGATCAGGCCCTCACATGTTCCCAGTGCACTCTTTGCTAGGAGCCACTTGGGGACCTATCCCTTTTTTAGCACTTGAAGAGCAGTGCAGCCAGATCTCTCCTTTGCTGTTTACTACCATCATTTCCATACGAAATAAAAACAGCTGGAGACTTGGCCAATCAGTAATTTTCTCTATAAACAGATTTCTGGAATATTCTTGTATAGACCTCTTTTTAGTATTAGAAGCTACAAAAAAGAAGGCTTTTGGAAAGTATTATAAAAAGACTACTCCAATGAGGTGCTCTAGTGGACACACCGCAGGACTGGGGACCAGGAGCCCTGGGTCTGCCTCAGGTATTCCTTGCTTGCCCTGTGACTCGGAGACTTCCTCTTGCCTTATTAATAAAATGCAGGATTAGTGAGTTATGATACAAGGTTTAAAGCTCTCTCTCTCTCTAATCCTTTGGTTCTTGGAATGGAACCCATGGGTGTGCTACCACTGAGCTACATCCCCAGGCCCTTTTATTCTGAGTCTTGCTAAATTACCCAGGCTGAGGGGAACTTGTGATCCTCCTGCCTCAGGCCTGAGTAGCTGGGGTAGCAGGTATGGACTGCTGTGCCCTGCCTAAAGGTCTTTTTATCTCTAAAATTTTATGAGCTGGGGAAAGAGGCATTAATAATCCAGATGGAATCTATATGCTTAAGAAAGAACAAACTTAATTAAGATAGTCACCAGAGAAATAAAATTCTATTACTAGACTTCTTCTCAGATTTAAGAACAACTCCCTTTAGACTGGTTTGGGACAGTATGTGGGCATCTGCTGGTTGCCCTGCAGTCCACAGGGACCAATAATCCCTTGTCAACAGTTAATGAGGAAACAAGGAGACAGAGCCCCAGATCACCACTTGAGTCCCAAGTGCTGTGAGTACACATCCTGGCATGGTAATGGTCCGAGCTCAGTTCTGTCCCCGAGCAGTCAGCAGGCAGCATCAGGAGTAGACGTGAACACCAAGCCAGCAGGCATTGTTTTAGTGCAAAACTCAAGCTGTGCATACCTGGAAAACTGTGTAATTCTCAGTTTCAAACTCTGAGATGAAAAAATGGAGATAAAAAAATCTCTAGAGAAGGGAAACAAAATAAACAAGGGATGAATGGGGATTCTGCATGAGGGTTATTGCTTTTGGGGGGGGGGGGTACCAGAGATCAAACTTGGGACCTTGCGGTTGTGAGGCAGGCAGCAGCACCACTGAGCTAAATCCCCAGCCCTATGAGGTTTATTCTTAAAACTCAGGACTAGGCTAAAAGATTTAGTTCCTGAATCCTAGAATACTGCTCATTTTACATTTACATTTATAGTTACCGGTGAATAAATCTCATGGTAGCATCTCAGGACTCCAACACAGGGCTGCCCTGAAGGCAGGACACCTGCAGGGCTGGGGGAGCATGCTCACTGGGGCCTTCAGCCTCACAAAGTAGCGGCTTCTAGGCTGAAGTATAAGCGTGAGCATGTCTTAGCCACACCAGCAGCAAGAGCGGAGAGGAGAATGACGATAAAAATGTAAGCCAATCGAAGTCAGAACTAGGGCGCTACATATTGTAGAGTGCTGCGCTGTCCAACAAGATGGCCACTGGCCACATGTGGTTACATGCATTCACATGGCCTGAAATTTAAAACCATTTCATTCAATTGCTCAACAGCTTCCTGTAGTAGTAGCCACTGGGCTGGACTGCATGGATACAGAACACTGACATCAGCAGAGAGAGTTCTACTACACAGTGCTGCCCTAGAAAGAACCCTAGGCAGAGGTAGGGAAGAGATGAACAGAGCTACAGGATAAGGCAGGGGTCCCGCAGGGTAGAGGGTGCATTTTTCAGCCAACTGGCCTCACCCAGAAAAACCCTACTGAACAAAATATGCCAAGGAGATGAGACCCTCGATCAAGTCAGCATCTGCAGGAATGCCAAACAATACAAGTGGACACCAAGCCAATTTGCATACGAAAGGCCCTGTGTAGGAAGGAGGACACTCCCCGAGAAGCCACTGACACAGCTCAGACTCACCATGGTCACTGTACCGCCTCTGCTTCTGGCTGGAAGAAACGCTTCTCTGCACTTTGTGGTGAGGAGACTGGCCGGTGCTGTTGCTGAGGTCGCTGCTTGGCCGCACCTTAGCAAGTGAAAGGTTGCTGCTAGAACTGGAGTCACTAGCGTCCAGCTAGGGGAAAATGGACCCCAGTGGCTTGTCAGGAAACTCAGCTTCTCGTGACCACGCCTCTCACGAGTACTTGGAGAGGGTGAATTATAAAGTACACAGTGACAACTCTAAACTTGGGCAACAGTATGCTCCTGACCACAGGGAAACCCACAAAAGGAAATGTATTAAGGTCTTCTTTCTAGGCTGTTTCAAATAACTACAGGCATTCTGTTTATTTAATTTGATATTTTACAACCATTTCTAAACTATTCATGAATATAGGCTACTTTGTGAATGCCCATGTTTATGACAATACCCATTACACGGGTTATTATCTTGAAGTTAAAATAGTAACTCATTATAGTCAGTAACAGATAAATTTAAAAAGTGATATGCCAAATATGTCATACATTATTAAAGACAAAAACTAATGAAGTTTATATAAATTGACCTTTTATAAAGAATTTTTCAGTTCTTCTTCTCTGATTACTCTTACCTCAGAAGATTTTCTCCCCAACAACAAATACGTAGCTGTGATTTCATCGTATTTCATTTTACTAAGAGATTCCTGAATTTCTTCTTGTGAATATCCCATTCCCACCATGATATCTAAAAAAAGGGTATAATGTGGTTTATATGTTTTGTTAACAGAGTAAAATAATTTTATCTGACCTAAAAGATTATATGCTTTCTAACATTAAATGAGCAGCTGAACATTTTTATAAGCTGCTGGGTGCAGGTACAGGAAACTGTAGATAGCTAGTAGTCTGTGCTTAGCTTCGTCTCATTTACATTTGGGGCATACACACTGGAGACAACACAGAAACATCACACACACACACACGCACACGCACACACACGCACACATGCACACATGCACACACGTGCAGAGCCACAGAGTAATTACCTATTCTTTTCTGGTCTGAGATGTTTAGTTCTGGTTCAACGAATGGTTTAAGTTCATCTTCTTCATGCCCTGCATTGATCCACCTGTCCTTCATGATTTGCTGAAAATGTAAACTGTTCATTAGCATCATAAAATATCTCAATAATCACAATATTTAGGAAAAGATCTCATTGACTTATAGATCAAAAATAAAATTTTTTGGTTGTCATTTTGGTCACACTTTCTGCTTAAAAAACACCAGGTTATTCAGTATATCACACCAACTAAGCAACACTCTGAAAATACTCAACACGCCCCTACCCACTTGTATAATTACCTCTAGAGTGCCACGCTTAATTGGGTTTAGCACCAGGAAGCGTTTGAGAAGGTTTTCACAGTCTGTGGACATGTAGAAAGGGATTCTGTATTTCCCTCTTAATACTCTTTCTCTCAGCTCCTTCAAGACATAAAGAAAGAAAAACAGTGAGTCAACTTTTAGGTTAAAAAAACCCCCCAAAACCCAAAAAACAACAACCCACAAACAGTGACTGAAATGCCTAAACTGATATAACATAAAATTATTAATCCTTACAATTTTATTAAAACCCTGTTAGTTTTATGAAGAACGTGGCTATAACTGCTTCTTATACCTTCAGATTTTGTCCATCAAAGGGTAGCGACCCACTGACTAGAGTGTAGAGAATGACGCCGAGACTCCACACGTCGACCTCCGGTCCATCGTACTTCTTGCCCTGGAAGAGCTCTGGGGCTGCGTATGGAGGACTGCCACAAAACGTGTCCAGTTTACTGCCAACAGTAAATTCATTGCTAAAACCAAAATCTGCTATTTTAATGTTCATATCCGCATCTAACAATAGATTTTCAGCCTAGGGAGAAAACATTAAGACAAAAATGAAATTTAAACAAAATACAATCACAATTATAACAGAATTAGGCATTTCATAAAACCTTTTGTAATGACATAAATTATACCCTAATTAATAAAATGACAAAACACTACTTCTAGAGAAAAACCAGAAAACAAATTAGACTAATTTTATAACATTAACAATATCAGGTGTTACATATAGATTAAATATAGCACTAATTTAAACATCAAATATCCCAAGGCAGGAAAAGTTTCTATTGCTTTTTCAATTAAGAGTAACACAGGGCCAGGGATTTAGCTCAGTGGTTCCGCCACTTGCCTCGCAAGCGCAAGGTCCCGAGTTTGATCCCCGGTACCAAAAAAAAAAAAAAAAAAAAAAGAGTAATAAAGGATCTTTTAAATATAGCAGTACTTGCTTTAAGAGGACTGACACACTTCATAAAAACTGCTAAATGGCTATTATAGGACAGGGAAGAGAAGAATCCCCAACACACACCAAGAAACAAATGACAGTAACTTCCATTTACTTCAACCAACATTTACCATGGGGCTATTATAGAGTACTAGCATGGGGTAGACGGAAGTCTGGATGCACAATGATGGGGGAGACAGGAGCTGCCCTCAGGAGCTCACAGTTTGAGGAGCGAGGCAGAAAGATAAGCAGCGGCCTGAGGACCAAATGCTGTGACAAAGGAGGTACCCACCATGGGCTCAGCACTGGGAAGGGTGGGCAGTTTCCCAGGGGAAGTGAAATCAAAGCCCAAGAAGGTGCAAATGATGGCACCTGGTGTTTTCAGGCAGAATAGTGTGAAACTCACAGTGAAGAGAAAACAAGTTTCTATCAAGAGCCTGAAAGACAGTGTGTGGGAAAACAGACGTACAGATGAGCAGGGGCTAGGCTGAACCACATAGGGCCATCAAGTGAGCTGGGCTTGGGAAATGTGGCTTTACACTTTGAAGGCAAGAGAAAGCCACTGAAGAGTTGTGGAAAACATACATTGAGAGGAAGAGACAAAACTGGAAGCAGAGAAGACCAGGCAAGAAACTAACGTGGTAATCGAGTATAAGGCAATGACAGTCTGGCCTTGGAGAGTAGGAAATTGGGCAAAAGAAACATTTGGGAAACAGCAAAGAACCTGGTGACTGAGGGAAGGGCTGAGCAGAATGAAGCCTGAGGGTCAACCGCCACCAGTGAGGAACACACCCTCCAGTTCAGGAAGGATGGTGTAGGCTCTGAATCAGCTGTACCCACGGTGCTAAGGGACACTCAAGTAAAGATGCCCTCTTGCCAGTCGCATCCTTGGAATGGGTGGGGTCCTCAGGACACAGGTGGCCACTGTGGTGCTTCAGCAGCCATGAATGCACTCAGGGTGGGTGCTGAGAGGAACACGCACGTGGGCAGCAATCTCGTGGGGAAAGCACGGGCGTGGGCACCACGTTAAGACTGGGCATCTAGAAAATGTGACCCAAAGGCAGAGAGGAGCATTAAGACAGGGTGCGGCCAGAGAGGTTTCTTTGGAAGGGATGGTGTAGGCTTGAATGTGTGGAAATGCCACTGGTCACAGCCACAAAGGGAGAGTGTGGGAAGAAATGGAAAAGAGAGGCAGCAGACAGGGCAGCCTGGAAGGAGCAGGTGCAAGGCAAGGTGTGCAGAGGCACCCACACTCCTGGAACAAGAGGAGGAAAGTGAGGGCCGCCTGTAGGTGCAGCCAGACCAGACCTAAGGACCTGCCAGGAAAACTGCTTCTGTGAGCGTGCACCTGAGCAGTGAGGCTGGAGGCACAGGCCCCAGCGAGGCCTCCCACGGATGCCCTGATGTAGGACAGAAGGCCCACTTGGGAGTGGATGTGGGTGCCAGGCACACTGAGCATGCTGTCCAGGCGCTTGAGCACTCGGGGGCCCCAGCTGTCTGGCTGGGAGGGCACTGACCTCCAGAAATCAACCACCAGCTGCCTTCACTGAAATGTAAAAGGCTTTAATACAGTTCCTCTCCCTGCCTCCCTCCTGGCTGTCTTTTTAGTTTCTGTGATACTGAGGATTGAACCCAGGGCCTTCACACTGAGCTACAACCCCAGCCCTTATTTTTAAAATTTTGAAACAAGGTCTCACTAAGTTGCTATGATGTCCAGGATGGACTTGAACTTGTGATCCTCCTGCTTTGACCTCCTGGAACACTGGGGTCATAGGCATATGCCACCACTCCCAACTTGCTTTATTTTTAATGCTCCTTATTATAACTTGATGAAAAGGATTCAATTATTTTAGGAATTTTTTCTTATTGAAGAACACAATCTAATCTATGCTTATCTGTGAAACAACCAATGGGAAGGAAGACTGAAGATTTGCTCAGCAAGGACACCTGGACTTACCTTGAGGTCTCTGTGAACAATCCGTTTTTGGTGGCAATACTGCACTGCAGACACGATCTAGACAGGAGAGAGGCAAGGCTTAGTTACCACTGGTGTAGATGCAAAATCAAGATGGTAAGACCTCACTAATGTTATCACATGCAAAAGGCTCAGATAGCTCTTGAAAGTGTGGATTTCTGAAAACAATTTTCTTAAGCTTTGACCTTTTCAATCTGGAGAAATTCAAGGGTAAAAGCAAGGAGAGAGATGATTTTTTTCCTGTTCTCTCTAGGTTTTGTTTTTTGGCAGTACTGGGGATTGGATACAGGGCCCAATTTTGCACTAAGCCACATCTCCAGTCCGTTTTAATTTTAAGACAGGGTCTCAACTAAGTTCCTCAGTTGTCTAGGCTGGGCTCACCCCCTGCTTTTGCCTTGAACTCATTATGTAGGCCAGGCTGACCTTAAACTCACAGTGATCCACCTACCTCAGCCTCAGCTGGGATCAAAGGCATGCAACACCATGCCTAGCCTGGGCTCAAACTTTCTATCCTCCTGCCTCAGCCTCCCAGAGTGCAAAGACTACCGGTGTGCACAACCTCATCCTACTCTGTTCTCTCTAGTTTTAAATCGAAGTCTCTTCTTGGACCCCACCTGCTCACGTTCTATTTATTTTTCAATGGTCCAGGCAGGACCTTTTTGGTCTAGACTACCCTGTCTGCTGCTAGGCCCAAGGCCAAATGGCTTGGGCAACCTCCCCTGCCTATGAATGCAACTGCTAAGCAAACCAGCAGTCACAGGCTGTCCAGGCCACGTGTTAGTCCCGGTGACGCTCTTTTGTTAAGTGTCTCCTCCCGGCTGCTCCCTACAACACTTCTTCCTCTTAGCTGATGTGAGGTTGAGGAAAACACCAAGTACTTAACCTGTTTCCTTTTCCTTAAAAAGAAGGAATGTTCTGTATGTGAACTGAAAACTATGTTAAGACCAATAATTAAACAATGTTTTATTGATATTTCACAATTACTGATAATTTTTTAAAGTCTCATTTTCTAATTATAAAAGTTTCATATGTTTACTATAAAAATTTTAGTAAACACAGAAAAGAACATAAGTATATGCCTATATTACTAGCAAGTAGAGATAATGTGTCTTATTATTTTGGAGCCTTTGCTTCTAGTCATTTCGTTGATATTTTGCGTACGTATTTAGATATGTGTGGTGACTGTGTCTGTATAGAACTGGGGTTACAATGAAAATACTGTTTTCCTAAAACATCATATCCCTTACTTGTAAACTACATGGATCCAGCTATGGTGGACATAAAATCTGAGGGTGGTTCTGTATTTTGGTTCAAAACAAGCAGGAAGGAGAAGCTGGGCTGGAGTTAGGATGAAATGATGCCAAGCAGCTTTACTACTTTATTTCAAATGAATATTCAGAATGGAGTCCACCCATAATCAATAAACAAAAATGCACCAAGGACATGGATAATTTCCACCTTGATATTTTCTGATATTTTCTGATCTAATCATTCCCATTCAGATTTTTGTATTTTAGACACGGTCTCGCTATGTAGTCCAGGCTGGCCTCAAACTCAAAGTGATCCTCCAGCCTCTGCCTCTCAAGTGCTGGGATTACAGACATGTGCCACCAAGCCCAGCACCCATTTAGTATTTATATTAATCTTTCCCTCTGGAAAAGGGGATTCTTATCTAGAGCTTTTTTGTAAGTTATTTTCAAATTCTGCTTTTGAATCACAAACTGATAATTTTCTGCCCTTTCTCAGGTCATCCTTCTTCCTTTAGTGCCAAACAGCTCAAAGGTAATCTGACGCCATAATAACCTGAAAATATTCAGCTCAAACCCATTGTTTTTGAGTTGTTATTAAGCTAAAAGCAGTCTTCCAGGTTTCAATAGGGATCTGGCCTAATTCACTGTCAGTTATCCGTGAGAGAATAGAGGCATCAACATGACCAGCCCACAGAGAAAGAGGTTCGGCACAGAGATACAGCTTTCAAAGCAATGAAAGCTCAAGCAAGAAATGACAATGGCACACACAGCAAGTAGGACGGGAATAGTGAAGGAAGTGGGGAGAGGAAAACCGTCTGCTGGTGAAGAAGGAACAAAGGGCCTATTTGCGGCACAGAGAGGATCACACCCAGCACCATGCATGTAGAGTACCCTCCTCTTTGTCGTAAACAGGAAAATCATTTTTTAAAATTTAGTCATCAAAGTTGTGATGACTTATAAGCTCCTAGAAAACACAGCAATTAAAAAAGTAAAACACAGCCAGGCATGGTGGTGCAGGCCTATAATCCCCACACACATCGCTTCTCGGCCTTTTGGCTAAGATCAAGTGTATAATCCCCACACACTGTGCAGCTGAGGCAGGAAGATTGAAAAGTTCTAGCCCAGCCTGGACAAATTAATGACTTAAACTAAAGAGACCATGTGAAGAAATATACAGCATAAACTGCACCATGAGGTCCCTCCTCTGGGGAGCTCTAAGATCTACACAGAAGCATTCAGCATCTGCCCTTTGGGATTCTGAACAAACCAACTTCAAAAACTCATTTACCAGGCCACCAGAGAACATAGTTTTGAACATGAGCCAAGAGTTGGTGATATTAGGGCATGTTTGGTGAAAAGGTCTCATGGGTCTGTTGCTGCTACTGGGGTACCTCCCCAGTCCATTTTTATTTTAAGATAGGGTCTTGCTAAGTGGCTAAAAACTGAAGGTCAGACAAGTTAAAGACAGCAACACTTAGTTTGAACTCTGACACTGTTTTTTTAACTCAAAGTACCATTAGTATTTCTTAAGACTTTAAGTTGAAGCAATAACAGCGGGTGTGGTGGTGCAGGCCTGTAATCTCTGCACATGGGAGGCTGAAGCAAGAGGATTAATGTTGAGTTTGGGGCCAGCCTGTACTAAAGGGCAAAAACCTATCTCAAAAAGCCAAAATAATAACAACAACAAAAACAATAATAATGAGACACTGTTAAGAGAAAACTTAAAATTGCATTTTCAAACAGGTAAAAATTTATTTTATTTTATTTTTATTTTTTTATTTTTTTTGGTACCAGGGGTCGAACTCGGGTCCTTGCACTTGCACTTGCGCAGCAGGCAACCAAACAGGTAAAAATTTAAATCTTCTGTATATTCTGACAACCTTGTATGTGAAAAAAACAAACAGGTTCTGAGAGAAATGAGATATATTGTCATTTAAATGTAGATCTTGTAACTGTGACAGTAGAGAGCACACATTCATTCATTCATTTTTGGTGCTGGCAATTGTGCAGAGCGTCATGCATGACAAACAGAGCACTGAGCTCTGTTTCTCAGTCCAGAGCGAAAGTCAAAGGAGCAAAACATCTGTGCCCTTTGTCTTAATCAGGGGTTGGCAAATTATGCCCCTGTCCTCAATGGGGCCCACTTGTGTTGGGTTAAAATCATGCAGGCTGCCGTGCCTAGAGCTGCTCCTGTGTGGCAGGGCAGAGGGGACTGTCTGTGATGGAGGAAGGACGGCCCATGAAGCCTGCAACAGCATGTCTGGCCCTTTTCAGAAGAACATGCTGACACCTCCTCTGAATAGTAGCACAGCCCAATGAGTGAGACTGAGTTTTGGAGTTTGGGAGCCTGCGTCTGAATCTATGGCTGGTCTGCTACTTCACAAGTATGAAATTTGGGGTCAGTTACTAAATCTTCCATGCCTCAGTTCTTATCCTTTTTTTTGGTACCGGGGATCGGACTCAGGTCCTTGTGCTTGTGCAGCAGGCAGCAAAACCACTGAGCTAAATCCCCAGTCCCTCATTTCTTATCTTTAGCAAATGGGCATAATGCTCCTTAATTCTCAAGGCTGCTACAAAATTTACATAAACGTAAATCACTTATCCCAGGGTCTGGCAGGCAAAGGTTAATCAATCCATTATAACGGTTGTTAATAAAGATAAGAATTAAGTTACCTCTACACTTAAAATGAGCTTATTAAAATGAGTATCTCTCGGGGCTGGGGATTTAGCTCAGTAGTTCCACTGCCTGCCTCACAAGTGCAAGATCCAGAGTTTGATCCCTGGTACCAAAAAAATAAAAAGAGTATCTCTCTCAAAAGTAGAGTAAAGACAAGGCAAGATGGAAAGTCACTAACAGATTAAGTTATACTGGTTTTAGCTTATGAAGGACAAAACTAACAATGAGTTGTGGGGCTATAATATTCTTCTTGCTAAAAACTCTGAAATGCGTTTAATTAATATAATTACGGGGTGTCTCTGAAAGGCTCTAGATTGTTGAGGTTCAACTGTCAAAAACCCAGGTTTTAAAAAAAAAACCCCAGGTTAAGAGTGAGAATAATGTCTCAATTATAAGCTCAAAGCTCCAAGGAGGACCCATGGTGCCTCAGGATAAAAGGTACTTAATAAATTTTTGTTGAACTGAATGGCCAACCTCTGCTCAGCCATGGGCCTCTGGAGCATTTACAGAGGCAAACAACTGTTTGCTTCAGGGTTTAGGAAGGTAACTTAAGTTAGCAAACTAAAGACATGTTAGTTCATACCTGTCTAAATTTAGCTCTTGCTTCTTTTTCCTTCATTCTTCCATGTGCAACCAAATAGTCAAATACTTCACCTATAATTAAGAGAAATAAAAGTAAGCAGAAGTCATACTTCTGAGCATTAATTTTCCCATAAATTGATTGTTTCACTTTTCACAATGTCCTTTTTATTGTTAAATACAGGTATGAAGTTAGCTGGAAATATGTAGAGTTTAAGTTAAACTAGCCTAAAGTTTAACTATAGGCATTTAAGTTCACCAATAAAATCTTTAGGCTGGAGAAAAACCTTAAAATGAAATTCTCGTATGTTTAACTTACACAAATTTCATTTTAAAGGGTATGATTTTTTAATATACTTTAATAAAAACTGAGCAAGGAGGGCCGGGGATTTAGCTCAAAGGTTCTACTGCCTGGCTCAAAGAAAGCGCAAGGTTCCAAGTTTGATCCCCAGTACCAAAAAAACCCAAAATTGAGTAATGAAAAATGGAAACTTAAAATGGATTAAGTTATTTGTTTTAAAAGATGTTCTCACTGCAGATTATGACCACAATGGATTTCCTGACTATATTCATTCATTCAACAAATATTTACTGAGTGCCTACTAACTGCCAGGCACTGTTTTGGGCTCTGGATAGATGCAGCAGTGAGCTCAGCAAAGGATTTTCCTCATAGAGTTCCAGGAGGGGAGAGAGACAATGAACACAGAGTGTGTCAGAGGAAAGTCAGTGCTGTAGAGAGAACAGGGAGAAGGCAGCAGGAAGAATGCCTGTGTCTGTACTTGTGTGCGTTCTGCTGACTACCTGAGCAAGTGGGCACCACAGTTATTTGAGAATAAGAGTCTTTGGCAAGTAAGAGAAAATGGCAAGGTGCCACCTATGAGAGTGAGCGGCAAGGCGGAGGAAAGGTGGTACGCAAGCCACTGAAGAGGCCTGCAGGCTCTGCTGAGGACTCTGGCTTTGTAATGAGAGGAGACGCAGGGAAGAGGAAGTGACTCACTTCTTCAAAGGGTCACTGGCTGCTAGAGGGGGAAGGAGTCACCACAAGGGGAAAGGACCAGAGGTGAAGCTAGAAGGCCTGCCCAACAGTCAAGCCAAGCATGCCAGTGCCCGAGTGGAACAGATGTGCAGCGGCAGCAAGCAGCGGGGCTCAGGACACAACGCAGGTGACAGTGGGAATCTAAGCACAGTCAGGGCAGGTTAACTCCCAGGGGGAAAGCAGACAACGAGGTACTGGTACCAAGCCACTGGTACCGGTAACTGCTAACAGATGCAGAATGGGGAAACACCACCTCTGCAATCCACAGAAAACAATCTCATTTAGAAAATTAGATGGAAGATGCTCTGGGGAAAGATTCAGGTCTACTTTATACAAATTAAGGAATATGGACCTACATCAGCATTAGTGACTTCTTGCTTAAATTATAAATTATATATTAGGATTTCTGACTTAATTTATACTCTTAACCCTAACTCCAAGTAAATACATTTTAAGTAGATGGGGAAAAATATTTCTACATTAGCACCTGATTGGAAAATTGTCTTTTAAAAGGCATTACATACACATGTAATTTATACTACACAATGCATCTAATACGATGATTACAAGTTAAGTATCAGCTTAGTAAAATGTCAGCATTCATTCATTCATTCATTCATTTATTTATTTATTTATTTATTTATTGGTACTGGGGATCAAACTCAGGACCCTGAGCTTGTGAAGCAAGTAATGTCAGCATTTTAAAAGTGAATGACTGGGGGGCCGGGGATTTAGCTCAGTGGTTCCGGCCCCTTACTCAAAAGCACAAGGTCCAGAGTTCGATCTCCGGTACCAAAAAAAAAGTGAATAACTGGGGTCTGGGGTACCAAAAAAAGGAAAAGCGATAACCAATCTTTTTGGAGAGGCACACATCAAACAAGTGGTTAATAAGTTGCAAACAACTAAAGTTGTATGCATATCATACAGAAAGCAGTTTGATGTAAAAAACACAAGTGGGTGATACTTGTGTTGCACAGGGACATGGATAAGGTCCAGACCTGTCTATAATTTAAAAGTTTTATAAATTCAAATGCACTATAAACCTAAGAGATTTCTCAAACCATAAAGCACACCCACAATTACTAAGTTATAAAACAGAACACCAATTTATAATCCAGGATTCAACCCCAATCTCTCCTTTTTTCCTTGTTAAAAATGTATCAAAAAAAAAAGCATTAACACTCAGCAAGCAGGTGAACTAACAACCTCCAAAGGCTATTTACTAAAGACAGAAAGAAAAAAAAACAGAGCGGCACTCCTGCCTAGGCCAGGAAACCCGTGGCTACATGGAAAGATGCTGGACTGACGGGCCAATGAGAAAGCCCAGAGGTTCTAATTCGCAAACTGCAACCAACTAGCTAAGGAACCTCTGGTACAAGACAACCTTTCTAAGCTCTAGTTTCATCTATAAAATTAGAAAGCTGGCCTGGATGATTTCTAAGGTTCTTTGCAATTCTAAAATTCTACCAAATCAAAAGGTACTTCTGCTGGGGGAAGTGGTGCCCAACTGATTAAAGCTTTTGTTATTCACATCTTGGAGACTGAGTGTTTTGCTGAGCTGACTAAAACAAGACAGTGAACCACCCCCCATCAATAACAACACTGAGGGCTGCTCTGGGGACACATTACTGCCGGATCACAAGGCCAATGAGGGCCACTGGATGAACTTCCCATGCCTTTCTTTCCCAAAGCCCATCCTCTTTCTTCTAAAAACCGGGATGCTTCTCAGAGATTTTTATCTTGCCCTTCTTTTAAGAGTAATCTGAACTGCCTGAGCACCTAAATTAAACAAAAATTGAAAGCTGTGACAGACAAACTGGAGGGGCTAACACACTCAGAAGGCTGGGCTCCAGCTCTAGTGGCAGTTATGATGAAGGTAGGCCTTCCCAGTCTCCAGCTCTTCAAGAGTAAAAGCCATATATGGCTGGGGATTTAGCTCAGTGGTTTCACTGCCTGCTGCGGAAGCGCAAGGACCTGAGTTCCATCCCCGGTACCAAATAAATAAATAAATAAATAAATAAATAAATAAATAAATAAATAAAAGCCACAAAGGGCCGGGGATTTAGCTCAATGGTGCTGCTGCCTGCCTCCCAAGCCCAGGTTCCTGAGTTTGGTCACCGGTAACCAAAAAGATAAAAAATAAAAAATAAAAAGGAGGAGCCACTGCCTCCTGCCTGGCCGTATCATGGAGTCACTGTTAAGGTCAAAGAAGCCAGGGAGAGCAAGCACTGTGCATACTTCGGAGGCTACACAGATAGGAGGCCATTAACTCTGTGTTGTTTGACCAAGGAATAGGTAGTGTTGGAACTCCATTAACTTGCAGTTCTTCAAGTTTGAAAATCCCAACTAAATTCCCAAACTAAACATTTAAAATATAAAATACATAACGAACAATGAATCAGGAATATGAGAGTGGTGTCAAAGGTGTACCTACAATAACTCATTCATTCTCACTAAAGGCTGACAATTTTTTATTTAATGTTAGCTCATTAAACAACGAGGAGCTGTGATTCAATGTTCTATTTCCAGGTTTTGCAATTGAGATCAAAGAAACTAAAGAAAAAATAAAACTATAATCCTGCAGAGTACAACAGGATGTGTCTCCAGGAATTTATAATTTCACAAATCTAATCTAATTTGTATTTGCTGAGTATCCATTACATCCCCAGCACAGTGCTAAAGACAGGGAAAATGAAAACACAAACAAGAAAGCTTCTTCGCTCCACATACAGGGAAATCATCTGTGGTTCCACACTAAGAGCAGCCCCCTCAACCTCCAAGTGAGCATTTTTACCTTTTCTGTTTTTGTTTTAGAGGCGGGGCAAGTCTCGTCATTCTTATGTTAGACCTGTAGTTCACTATGTAGTTCAGCCTGACCTTGAACTCATTGTGTAGACTAGGCTGCCTCAAACTAGGCTTTTCTCCTGCCTTAGCTCCCAAGTACTAGATTACTGGTTTGCTATACCATGCCTGGCTTCCCAAGAATTCTTATAAAAGATAGCAGCTATACATATTGTGTATACATGCATTTCAAAATGTATCTGTTTTTATAACCTTGTAGGCAAATAGTTACTAGTCCTTAGTTTTCATTTAAAGGAAAATCTAGTTATATGTACAGTAAACACTATTTCTGGCCTTGGGAAAGATGGACTCCAATGACTAAAATTTGGTAAAGAAAAGTAACATACATTTATTTCCAGCACACTAATGCATTAGTACATTAAAAATACATAGTACATACAGACACAAAAACACAGGGAGGAATATTACTTAGCTTTAAAAAGGCAATTCTGACATATGCCACAATATGGACAATTTTAGAAACATTATGATAAATGAAATAAGACATAAAAGGACAAATAATGTACGGTCCTATTCTATCTGGTCAACAGAGCAATCAGATTCAGAGACATAGATTAGGACCAGAGGAAGAAGGAAATGGGCAGTTTGGGTTCAATGGGCACATTCTCTCAGTTTGGGAAGAGAACATTTCTGGAGACTGGTGGTTACTGCTTCTCGGCCTTTTGGCTAAGGTCAAGTGTAGTATCTGGAGATTGGTGGTGGTGAGGGCTGCACAACAACATGAATGTGCTTAATGCCACAGAGCCGCACACTTGAAAATGGTTAGAATGGTCAATTTTATCGGTGTATTTTACCACAGTACAAAAACTCAAGTTTTTGGATATTATCTATTAATAATGCTAACAGTGGAACACTTACTGCAAACCATAGAACTGCTAGCATCAGGCTGACTCATCCTAGAGTATTATGAGCTTTGATGTAAAACGAAACCTTAGCAATTATCCATATAGGCGGCATGCTTATACATTCTTTTGAAAGAAGCAAATAAAAACCTTATATAAATAAAATGTACTCACCTCCACTTGCATATTCCATGATTAAGTAGAGTGTCTTTTCAGTTTCAATGACTTCAAACAACTTCACTAAGGAAGAGGATACAAGAGAAGAACAAATGTGTGTGGTGTACAAGCTGCACATATAAACTCTATGAAAAGCAACTTTTCCCTGTTAAAGATTTTAATATCTGGCCCTCTAAAAAGTGCCTGTAGGGATTTTTTTTTCCTTTTTGAGACAGTCTCACTATATAGTACAGGGTGGCCTTGAACTTGTTATGTTGCCCAGGCTGGCCTCAAACTTGCAATCTTCCTGCCTCAGCCTTCTGAGTGCAGGTACAGGTGTGCCACCTACACCTGACTTAGGGAGGTTTTTTTTCTTAAATTCTTTTATTGGTACATTTTTAGGTATACAATATGTTTACATTTATCATTGGATGCTTGTACCTGTACATGATGTATCTTGGTTCTTATTTTTTCCCCATTACCTGTGTGCCCTTCCCTATTTACATAGACTTCATTTGCATTTTCTTTTT